TTTAAGCAACTTATTCAAAGTTACATATTTAAGTTTCACAGTTAAGTTTTAAGCCCTGAGGCCATCTGACTCTAAGGCTTATGCTCTTTATACAGGCTAACTTCCAGCATTTTTCTTCTCTCCAGCACAGGTTCTCAGATGCTCAGCGACTTGAGCACAGCCGAAGCTGTTACTTATTCATTAACTCACATAGCATCTCTCCAGGAGAAATTTCCTGACATCTACTATGAATAAGTTTAGCTCGTTAAGTTTATAAGAAGGTTCATAATGACTTTTTTTTTGGTGTTGAGTGTGTCACCCACCAATAAAGATTCTCAGAAGCTCAGCAAAGCACATGTCAAGGCTGCAAACTTTCCCAGTTTCATTTTATTCTAAAGGTTCTCTCCAGTATGAAATCGCTTATGTTGAATAAGGTGAGAATTCAGCATGAACTGCAATTATTCCCTTAGAGTCATAGTCTTCTGTTATCTCTTCAAATAGCTCCTGAATATTTCTTATCAAGGATCTTATCGGATATTTTATGGTTTGGACTGGAATTATGGGTGTGATCATTTAAAAAACCTATTCTCTAACTGGTTATTGGTGGCAAGTGTTTTTTGTTTTTTCTTTTTTAAAGATTTTATTTTTCCTTTTTCTCCCCAAAGCCCCCCAGTACATAGTTGTATATTCTTCGTTGTGGGTCCTTCTAGTTGTGGCATGTGGGATGCTGCCTCAGCGTGGTTTGATGAGCAGTGCCATGTCTGTGCCCAGGATTCGAACCAGTAACACTGGGCCGCCTGCAGCGGAGCGAGCAAACTTAACCACTCGGACACGGGGCTGGCTCCTGTTTTTTGGGGATTTTTACTGAATATTTCTTCCATTACTGTATCCACTCATTTTCTAATTCTTTACTAATATATTAGTTTTTCAATTGATACTCTGGAAAGTTCTGAATATCAAATTATAAAATCTGAAAATTACAATAATTTTATATCTTCATGTCTAATAGCTGTAAGTCTTATTTCTGTTTCTTATTTTATTACTTGACTGGAACTTTCAAAACATTACTACATTTTAATGTTGGCAGCAGACACCTTTTTTCCCATGAATGGGAATGCCTCTGATATTTCATCATAAAGTATTATGCCAGTTTGAGTTAAATAGAAGTATTCCTTGTTTCAACATAAGGAAGAGAAACTGAATTTTATGAAAACATTTTTTAGCATTTACTGAGATGACTTTTAAAAAAATGTTTGATCTATTAATATGTTACTTAACAGCCAGAGCGGTTTGGTGAAAGAAACCAGCCTATATGAAGACTGAAAGGAGCTCAAAACAGAGGTCCAGGATGGAGACGTAAATTTGTGTGTTGTGGGTATACAGATGGTATTTAATACCAGATGACCAGAAAAGAACACCTAAGCAGTGGGTGCATTTATTGAAGAAAATTCAGAGGACTGAGCAGTGGGGCAGGTCAGGAATCAGGAAGATGAAGAGAATGAGTACCCAGTAGGTAGGAAGAAAACCAAGAGCGTGTGCTGTCCCAGAAGCCAGGTGAGCAAAGGGTTTTAAGGAGGGTGATCAATAGTGGCAACGCTGCTAAGATAAGGACTGAGAATTGACACTGGATTTAACAAACTGGAAGGCACTGGTGACCTCGACAAGAGGACTTCTGATTGGAGTGAGCTCAAGAGAGCATGACACAATCATGCTTGTGCTGGGCAAATACAGCCCATTTCTATCCCTAGACGAGCACATGTCACAGAGGCTCAGTAAATTAAGGTTCTATTCTCTATCTGAGAAAAAATGAGAAGCTAATGTAAGCTTAAGGGGTGTAAAGAAATAGAGGCTATGAGGGTGGGATTTGACGCCAGAATGCTTGGATTCAAATTCCAGAGCTGTCACTCACCACCTCTGCAGCCTTGAGAAAGCCACTTAGAACCCCTGAGTCTCAGTTTTTTCATCTATACAAGGGGTAATAATACTTTTTTCTAAGGGTTGTTGTGAGGTTTCAGTTTTTAAAAATGCACTTAAAGCTCTAGACAATTACTCTTCTCACTTTTTAAACAAGTCACCTGAACGTTTTCTTCCCTGTTCTTTGTCTGGTAGTTGAGCTTTAAGATAACGAAATTCAGACTTCATTAAAACATAAACCACTCTTTCTGTAAATAGTTTCCTATGAATCCTAAAGGGCTTCCAGGGGCCACTATGGAAATGCAAAGCTCTTTGGAGTTGGTTGTGTTTTCCTGAAAATTAACCCAGTTATAAGCCAGATAGAATAACAAGAATAAACAGACAAGAGTAGAAATAGAAAACTACTCTTTTGAAGAGTTTTGCTGTACATGGAACAGTCAAAGGGGATGACAGTAGAAGGGGAAATGTGGGGCTAAAGGAGGTTTGTCATTTTCTTTTAGATAAAGTAAATTCAGCATCTCTGTATGCTGTTGGGAAAGATCCAGTGGAGCAGGAGAAACAGACGGTGCAGGAAAGACTGAGGACAATCGCTGGAGTGACATCCTTGAGTGGGCGAGAGCAGATGGGATCTACGGCACAAGTGGAGGGGCTAACCTTAGGTGAGACTAAGGACAGAACATGCAGAGGAACAGGAGGGAAGAGCATGTGCAAACATGCAGGGAGGTGAGTAGCTTTCTTGGTGGAAACGTGGAAGTTCTCCTCGGATTGCTTCTCTTTTCTCTTTGAAAGAGGAAGTTAAGCTCATTAGCTGAGAGTGAGGATGGAGAGAGAGGTGGTAGAGATTTGAAGGAGTGGAAAGTGTGAAAGAATTATCTAAACAGACATATCCACAGTTGTTACTTGTGCATGTATTTCTCTTACAATGTTAAAACAATAAATTTACTTTAAAACTCCTTTAATATTGCCCCATTGCCTTCAGGAGAAATACAAATTCATTTGCACCATATTAAAGACTATTCTTCATTTGTCTTTTTCATAAAACTTAATCTCATCTCCTGTCACATTCTCATTACAATCTAAGTTCCATCTTTATCAATTACTTAAGGGTTCTCCTCAACTGGCATTAAGTTTAATGCTCCCTGTGGCAGACCATATTTCCCAAAGATGACTGCAATAATGTATCTCATCCCACATGCTGTTCTGGAATGTGACCTTCATAAGTAGAGTTCACTTCTCCATCCTCTTGAATCTGTCTGTTTTCACCAACAGAATATAGTGGAAATGACAGTGTGCCAGTTCTGGGAGTAGCCCTTAACTGGCCTGGAAGTTTCTGTCACTTGTGCCTTTTGGGATGCTTGTTCTTGGGATACATCCTCTTGAAACCCAGGCACCATTTATGATAGGCAGTCCCAGCTGGGCTCCCAGCCAACAGCCAGTATCAGACGCCAGCCATGTGAGTGAGTCATCCTGGAATGTCCAGCCCAGCTGAACCTGCAGATGACTGAGCCCCAGACAGCATCTGACTGCAACCACATGAGAGACATCAGTTAAGAATCTCCCAGGGAACCCAGCCAGTCCACGGAATTGTGAAAGAGAATTTGTTATTTTAAGCCCCTAAGTTATAGGGGTGGTTGGCTATGCAGCAGTAGATAACCACAAGTGTTGAGTGCTGATGTGGTAGACAGCAGTTGTCATAGCAAGAGTGGTAGTGGCAGACAGACGATCTAGGGTGAAATCCTGGCTCTGCCACTCCCTGGCGATATGATCTTAGTAAGTTATTTCAATTCCTGAATTCCATTTTTCCATAAACAGGGATAATAATCACCACCTCACCTGACACAGTTCCAGGCCTTGGTTAATGTTAGGGGAAGGGGAAGTGTTTCTGTCCTTCAACTTAGGCTTTCGCTTTGATCCACTGAGGAAAGAACTTCCTCACTTACCATTTTACCTTTTCTCTTTATACCAACATTCCAGCTCCTCCCCATGAGAGCTGTTGATAGAACATGTTGGGCTGACATTTTACTAGTGGGTAGTTATTGTATTGCATATGTATCTGTGAGCATGTCTGAATTGTCTGTAACTAGTTGGATGAGGAAATCCCAGCTAGCCTTGCCCATGCAACTACCTGGTAAGTGTACTCACAGTCTGTCCCCACAGAGCCAGTTAGATCCAAGATGTAAATATGGGACATAGGAAGCTACTTCAGCCTTGGGACAAAGCAGTTTTCTCCAATCAAGCTTTAACAGAGCAGTGGGTACTTACAAAAAGTAGCATTTTATTCCTCATATGGCTACCAATCCTTTTCATTCATGGCTTCCCCAACAGAAGAGAGAATAAATGGGTTTAAGAACCAAAGCCCACCCCCATAACCCTAATAAACGCCTCCTGTTTTTTAGCATTGTGTTCAAGCTCTGCCTCCTCTGGAAAGGCTGGCTCTATGCCCTCCTCTGAGCTGTGTTAAGTTCCCTGACCTGTGTTTCCATTTCTCCTTATGCAGACTTATATCATTCCTTATATTCATAGTTTAGTTTGACATATTTAGTTTAGTTTCTCCCAATAGTCAGTAACCTCTTTGGAACAGGGAAAAAAAAGGTCTTCCATTCAAAGTGTTGACAGATGGCAGGACCTCAATCAATATTTGTGGAATGAATTAACATCTTGTGTATATTATACATTTTAAGGATATATGGGTATATGCATGTGTGTTTGTGCAACACTGGTCCGCCCCTACACACACACATTCTTCCAACACAAATAGACAAAACCAAGATAAAGATTTTAAAGTTATATCCCAAAATCCAGAAGTATATATGACTTGAGTTAAATAGAAAAGTTGTGATATTTTATTATTTACTAAGGAAATAATGTATTGATGTCACGTAACAAAGGTTTAGCTAATTGATAAATGAACATTTTGAACTCATAAGTAGGTAAATAATTATACAGTAACAGGTTTGACACTCTGAAATTATTATTAATGCTGCCCAAAAGCAATACTGAAATCTTGGTACTATTATTCCATATACGTATTTAATGCACTATAGGTAACTTTGTAAAATGAACAATAATTGTACAGGAGTCACGTATAAAAGTATTTACTTATATACCTTCATCGTCAGTATTGAGTTTGGCTTCCAGTTCTGCTATCTTCTCTCTTATTTCAAGTATTGAGAGTTGCACTATATCCCTATTTTTAAAAACAATTTGTTAATTATGACTCAATTAAAAAATAATATGAGAAAAATAATACATACTAACCCACCACTACTTCAAGAACAATTTATGAAACATCACTTATTGAAGGCATGGTTGAGAACCAGTAATTAGATAAATAATGGCTTCTGATTACCCAGTTCCAAGACACTAATATGCACTAAAGCTCAAAGCCCCCCAGGCCACCTCTAGAAATCCTTTACTATTAACTTAAATAGGATCCCAAGAAGTTGGTTATCTTTGTTTCTCAAAGCCCAGCAAATGGGCCATAAATTATTATAGAAAGGAACAGCCAGGGCAACTAACAACTGACAACTTGAAACAAAGAAGAAAAAAGAAACACTAATTTAACCCCTCCCCCATAGCATTCCAAAGATTATCTGTTTAGGATATCAGCAAAGAGTGCATTAATTACCAAAATATGATGATGACGGAATCATTTATTCCATACATATCTTTGAATGCCTATTATGTTCAAGGCATTGTGCTAAATATTTGAAGATACAATGAATAAGTGAACAGAACAATAGCAGTAGCAGCAGCACAGTTCCACTGAATTATTCTGGGCCGATGTGCTTTACAGACATTTCACTCAATCCTGGCAACTACATGGGGTATGAGATAATGACCTGCACCCCAGTCTTGGAGTGGAGAAGACTGAGGCTTAGAAGAGGTTCGTTAACTTCCCCAAGATCAGGAAGGTAGTCCTGGGATTCGAACTAATACAGGATTTCTTTAAAGTACTTGCTCTTATCTTCTACTGCCTCTGGGAACACAGAACCTGTCCTCTGACTGCTTATAGTTTACTACAAACTAGAGAAGTAACCAAGCAGTTAAAATAGTGTGACTGGGCCTACAACACAGGAAAGCACAGGAAGCTATAGGGAAACACAGCAGAGTCTAATTCTCATGGGGCCTGCGAGTGGGGTTGGCAGTAACTTAAAAAATGTTATCTTAAGAACGTATTGTATTAAAATGCTATGCAACGTAAAATATTTCAGATTTAATACGAAGCACTGACACTATTCTAAAAAGCAAATAGGCGAGACATCATTTTTACAAAATGTCACCATTTCTTAAGTTCTTCTGAAGGGATGAAAGAGAAGCATAAGTAAACGAAACCTTTGGAATTTGAAACAGAAAATCTGAATTTAGTGGAACATCAAGATGAAAAACATATTTTAGCTCTGGGTATATGCCCACAATATACGCCACTTGATTTGATCGTGAAGGCAGAACCCCCTACCTCAAATCCTGTCTATTTATAAGACCAAATGCCTAATTAATCAGAGGCAAATGAACCAATCCTTCCTATACAACAGTTTTTAGATGTCGCCAGATGTGCCGGGGTAATCACACGCCTGGCATCACATCGACCTCGGCGGCTGCAGCGTCGCGCGGCGGGCGCCCACAGGAGCGGGCCCGCGCGGCCTGGACGCAAACCCTCCGCCGGGCGCGGAGCCCGCGCGCCGCTCCCAACTCACTTTCTGTGGATTTCCTCCAGTAACTCCGGTTTAAGGCGGTCGGTGCTGACACCCTCGAAGGTGTCGCCCTTCCCTTCCTCCATAGTGTCAGATCAGAGACCTCCCTCGCCCTTCTCCTCACACAGCTCAGAACCCAAGACCTGAAGGGACACCCAGGGGCCGGGAGGCAGAAAGCATTGTCACGCGTCGTCGCCATGGAGAACAGACTCACAGTCCACACTCTGGCGCCTCACGGTGACGTCACAGAGCGTGGCCCAGGGGCGGGGGAGGGCCAACCGGGAGTATAGGGGCGGGGCAGAGGCGGGGCCCCCGAGTGTGGCTAAAATGGGAAGAGGGCTCGATCCCAGGGACAGGCCCTCGACCACAGCGCCTCGCAAGACCCACAGGCTGTGGTCCATTCCGTCCTTTCCTCTTTCCAAGCCAAAGTGGTGGAGGGGGCGAGACTTGCTCGGAATGGCCGGGGGGGTGGTGTGCACGGGCTCCATGACTGAGTGTAAGAGGGTCGAGAGCTGTTGGTGATCAGACTATTTCTTCACATAAGACAACTTTTTGCATAGAATACATTTAAAGACATCATTTGGGGTTTATGTTTTTCATCTGATGTATGTTCTTACAGATTTTTTAAATTCATCTTTCTGAATCTTTAAAATATATTATGAATAGCAATTTTTTATTTTTTGGTGAGAAAGATTGGCCCTGAGCTAACATCTGTTGCAAATCTTCCTCTTTTTTTTACCCCCTCCGCAAAGCCGCAGTACATAGTTGTAAGTCCTTCTAGTTCTTCTATGTGGGACACCTCCAGAGCATGGCTTGCTGAGTGTGTCTAGGTCCATGCCCAGGATCTGAACTGGTGAACCGCGGGCCACTGCAGTGGAGTGCATGAACTTAACCACTATGCCACTGGGCTGGCCCTGAAAATAATTATTTTAATGAAAAACAAGCTATTCAGAAGTCAATGAAATGTTCTCTTTTAAGCACTTCTGTTGTTAAACTAAATACAAAATGGCAAAATCCATTAGGCAGTGTTGATGCAAATAATCCATAACCAACCTATAAATCAATTTTATTTAAATTTATTATAAATAAATTTATTATGAGCCAGAGTGACAATTATAACCGAGAAGGCCTCAGAAGGGCTTCGAGAGAAGCATGGGTTTCAGTATGGTCTTATATCTTTTTAGAACAAAGAAGATACATTAAACACACCCAGGATACACTTTCAAAGAGGTATTCAGTTGCAAATTAGCAGGTCAACATGACCATGATGCCAGGAAAAGGACTAATCCGGGCATTATCAATAGGGCGTTGTTACCAATGGGGTGTAGGAGGGGCAGTATGCACTGTTTCTCTTAAGAGAGATTCCTTACTTTAATGGAAACTGTAAGTCAGGCTTCCTAGTTCAAGCCGAGTCAGTTTTGAACTCAAATAGTTACCCCATATACCTCAATATGTGAAAAATCTCTTGTCAGAAGTCTGCTTAAAAACACCTAGTCTTGAGTTTGGCAAGATAGACCAGAGAACTAGCTTCTGTTTGAGCAGAGCATTATTTATCAGACTTACCTGAAATGATTTCTGGCTAACAAGACTTAAGCCTGGCTTGCTTAGTTTACCCTATAATACCTATGAAGAAAAGAGAAAGACAAAAGTTCACACTATCACCAAAATCTAGGACTGATGATCTATTTGCTAATATCTTGGGAAGTTTTCTACCAACTATTAAGCCAATGGAATTGTAATACAAAAATGCTAAGTGTTGTCGACGCAAAATAACCAATAACCACTCTGTAGATAAGAGAAATAAGGTGAGTTTTACTTGAGCCAGAGTAAGGATTTAACCCAGTAAGGCCTTAGAAAGGTTCCAGAGAAGCACTGTGTTCAGTACAGTCTCATATCTTTTTAGAATAAAGAACATACATTAAACACACCCAGCATACATTTTCATCAAAGTTTCAAAGAGGTATTTAGTTACAAATTAGCAGGTCAACATAACCCTGACGTTGAGAAAGGGACTAATCCAGGCATTACCAATAGGGCGTTACCATTAGGGCATAGGAGGGGAAGTATGCAATCTTAACAGAGTGTGTTCCTTACTTTAAAGGTTAAGCAGATGGACAATGTATGTTTGATGGCCCATAAGTCAGGCTTTTTAGTTCAAGCCAAAGCAGTTTTGAACCCAAATAGTTACCCCAAATACCTCAATATGTGAAAATCTCGTCAGTGTTAAGGAGCTGGAATCAGGAAATATACAAAGATCATTTGTCCTTCCCTATCTACCTGTTTAAGAAAGACAAGACGACTGGCCTAACACTCACTCTGTGTAGGTCATTCCTTTTCGAGGCTAGTGTGTGACCTCTTCTTTCATACTGTTCTCCTCCATCTTGGAAAAGTTAACTTCTCCATACCTCAGCTTCCCTTTCTACAAAATGAAGATTGTAGTAGTATACACCTCATAGGAACGTTGTGAGGTTAAAATGAGTTAATCTATGTAAAAACACTTAGAACGTTACTGGTTCATGGTAAGCACTATAAAAAGTTAGCTCCCATTATTTTTATAGCTAGCCTGGAGGCACTCCCAGAAAACTACCCAGTACAACCTGGGGAAGGAACAGTCTGTAGAGGCAAAGTGAAGAAAAACCCTGGAAGCAGTAAATATTGAGAAGTGTTGTTTTCCATACACTATACTGTATCTGTTGAGTCTCAAAGAGCCAAGCAGAGCTAGGTAAAGGCCTCTAGATAATGCAAACTGGGCCCAGAAGCTGTGATGGTTAATTTTGTCAGCTTGACTGGGCCACAAGGTGTCCAGACATTTGGCCAAATACAGACATGCACCTTATAACAACATTTCCATCAAGGACAAACCACATATTCCACGGTGGTCCCATAAGATTAGTACCATATAGCTCCTGTGTGTAGCAGGCAATACCGTCCACGTTTGTGTAAGTACACTCTATGATGTTTGCATAATGATGAAATTGCCTAACTCATTTCTCAGAACATATCCTCATCTTAAGCAACCCATGACGGTATAATGCAGGCTGTGTCCATGAGGGTGTTTCTGGATGAGATTAACATTTCCATCAGCAGACTAAGTAAAGCAGATGCATCCCCTAAGGTGGGTGGACCTCATCCAATCAATCCAAGACCCAACAGAACAAAAAGGCTAAGAGGGAACTCCCCCTACCTGACAGCTTTAGTTGGTATATTAGTCTTTGGCCTTCAGATTCAAGACTGAAACGGACTCTTCTTGGGTCTTGAGCCTGTTGGCTTTCAAAGTGGAACAGACCACTGGCTCTCCTGGTTCTCAGGCATTCAGACTTGGACTGGCATAACACACCAGCTCTCCTGGGTCTCTACTTCACTGACTGCAGACCTTGGAACTTCTCAGCCTCCATAACTGTGTGAGTCAATTCCTTATAATAAATCTCTTTACAGATATATCTCCTCTATTGGTTCTGCTTCTCTGGAGAGCTCTAATATGGAAACTATACTTACCAAAATTTTGTCTAGCTGTTAATCTGAAATGGCAACCCACAACCAAGTGAAGAGAGTAGAATGAAGTGAAATGGACAACTAGATACCTGTTGCTGATCTGTGGTTGTTATTATTTCAATTTTTTTAAATTTGTAGAGGCTTGCCTTGTTTCCCAACATATGGTCCATCCTTGAGAATGTTCCATGCACACTTGAGAAAAATGTGTATTCTGCTGTTTTTGGATGAAGTGTTCTATATATGTCTATTAAGTCCAACCGTTTTAGTTTTTTGTTTAGCTCCACTGTTTCTTTGTTGATTTTCTGTCTGGATGATCTTTCCATTGATGTGAGTGGGGTGTTGAGGTCCCCTACTATTATTGTGTTATTTTTGATATCGTCTTTTAGGTTTGTTAATAGTTGCTTTATGAACTTTGGTGTTCCTGTGTTGGGTGCATAGATATTTATAAGCATTATTTCTTCTTGATGAAGTGTCCCTTTGATCATTATATATTTTGGCCCTCTGTGTCTCTCTTTACCTGCCTTATCTTGAAGTCTGTTTTGTCTGATATAAGTATTGCAACACCTGCTTTCTTTTGTTTGCTATTAGCTTGGAGTATTATCTTCCACCCCTTCACTCTGAGCCTGTGTTTGTCCTTGGAGGTGAGGTGTGTTTCCTGGAGGCAACAAATTGTTGGATCTTGTTCTTTAATCCATTTTGCCACTCTGTGTCTTTTTATTGGAGAGTTCAATTCATTTACATTGAGGGTGAGTATTGATGCATGAGGGCTTAATGCTGTCATTCTGTTGCTCGTTTTCCAGTTTTCCTGTGTTTCCTTTGTTTCTCATCTTGTGTGTTTTAGCCAACCCATTGACTCCTGCAATTTCTTACACTGGGTTTCTTAGACTTTTCCTTATTTATGCTTTGTGTTTCTGTTCTGTTGTTTAGTTTAGTGGCTACCCTGAATTTTGTATTCAGAATCTCGTGTATAACATAGTCCATTTTCTGGTGGTCTCTTACTTCCTTAGCCTAGACTGTTTCAGTCCCTTTCCTCCTCCCCTCCTGAATTATTATTTTCATCTCTTATTCCAACTTGTGTTGTGAGTTTGTGGTTAGAGTGATAAGATTGTCTCTGCTTTTGTGATTTCCTTCCCTTTATCCTAATGCTTTGGTTGAGTATTTGCTATCCTATTCAGATTCTGTCTGTCTCTCTACTCTGTGTTTTGTGACCACTTACTCCCTTTTTTTCTTTTTTCAGGTATGAGAGCCTTCTTGAGGATATCTTGTAGTGGAGGTCGGGTGACTACAAAGTCCCTCAGCATTTGTTTGTCTGGAAAAGATTTAATTTCTCCCTCATATCTTTAGGATATTTTTGCTGGCTAGAGTATTCTTGGCTGAAGATTTTTATCCTTTAAAGTTTTGAAGATGTCACTCCAATCTCTCCTAGCTTGTAAGGTTTCTGTAGAGAAATCCACTGAAAGTCTGATGGGGGTTCCTTTGTAGGTTATTTTCTTCTGCCTTGCTGCCCTGAGTATTCTTTCTTTGTCCTTCATTTTTGCCATTTTTACTACTATGTGCCTTGCAGTAGGTCTTTTTACATTGACAAATCTAGGAGATCTGAAAGCTTCCTCCACACACATTTCTCTCTCAATCCCTAGATTTGGGAAGTTCTCTTCTACTATTTCCCTGAGCACACTTTCTGCTCCATTTTCCTTTTCCATGCACTCAGGAATTCCGATGATTCTTAAGTTGCATTTTCTCATTGAGTCAGCTATTTCTCTGAGATTTTCAATTTTTTTAATTCTTAGTTCTCTTTCTTCCTCTGTCTGGAGCCATTCAGCCTGTCTATCTTCGATTATGCTAATTTGCTCCTCTACGGTGTCTACACAAGCATTCAGGGAATCCTATTCTGTTTTATCTGATTCATTGTATTTTTCATCTCTAGTATTTCTAATTGATTCTTCTTTATAATTTCAATCTCTTTTGTGAAGTAACTCCAGAACTTGTTGACTTGTTTCTCTATATTTCCCTTTACATCATTGAATATATTGAGGATAGCTATTCTGAACTCCTCTTCACTTAGTTTACCCATTTCCAAGCCCTCAGGACTTACTTGTGTATTTTCATTGTTTTCCTTTTGGACTGAGCTTTTATAAATTGCTGGATGGTAGAGGAGCGGTTTTTGCGCATGATGCTGTTATTCGGCTGCAATTACAGCCTGTCGCCACTACATGGGGGTCGAGAGGCTTGTTTTCTGAGCCCTGCGCCTTCAGCCAAGATGGCAGAGCCCAGCGTGGGTTGGGGAGGAGGGGCACTTTCACGCCTACCCGTATTGGATCAGCTCTCACTTTCTGGTTTCCCGGGGCCCTGGCTTGCTGGGGCTCCCCCATGCAAAAGCTTTTCCCTGTTAGAGGGTTTCTGCTGCTCCAGTGGTGGGAGTCCTGGATGATCCCCTGATGCGCGGCCCCTCCCCCACTCCTTCCTGCACCCACTGCAGCGATCCCAGTCTCTAGGGGAGGGAGCGAAGTTCTCTCCTATCCCGTTCCAGCTCCTCCAAGGCCAGCTGCAGCCTCTCCACCTTCCGTAGTTTGGCTCCTGTGGGTCTCTGACGATTTCCGTTATTAGGATTGTTTTTTTGGTTGGAAAGCAGTTGCTCTTTTTGGTTGTACTTTGGAGGGGAGAGAGTCCCAGGTGAGCTCACGCCGCCATGTTGCTGACCCTAAAGTAACTTTAAACTTTAGGTTCCACTATCTGTCATTCCATTTCTTAAGCCTAAACAAAGCAGAGACTGACTGGAAGCTCTTTACCAATTCAATTTTATTTCCATTTTAACAACCAGTACATTATCCTAGGCCTTATGGGAAGGTTCCATCAATTCTGTGTGTTCCCAAAGTACAAGCCTGTGAATACATCTGAGGCCAAGTAATTCCGAGACAGTTTATTCACAAAGTACACTCTTTTAGACAGTTTGAAATAAAGTCCAATAAACTAAGTAGCCAATAGAAGTTCAGAAATATTAGAATGGACAATAGCTATGAAAACCAATATTTTAAAACCATTAAACAAAAATAAAATGCCATTTGTAGCTTATAGGTCTGTAAATGTCCTGTCTTCTGCCTAAGTGGAAACTGTTATGCCCACTCACCATGGATTAAGCCTAAAGTCTTCACATTCTTTAATTTGATTATGAATAGAAACTTTTCTTTTTAATAACTTACTTCATTGGCTTTTTCATATAAAAAATTCCAATGAGTGAATCTCAAAATAAAAATATATTTCCTATCCATAAGCTGAATTCCATTTATAGTTTAGTTTTTACAAAATTTTAGTCTTTTGTAAAGACTTACAGAAGCAGATCTGGTAAAACGATTTCTTAAAGTACTTTTTTGTCCAATTAAGCTGATAATAATCACTTCAAATTTTAATACAATATCAGTCATATCCCCAAATTTCCTAGCCTCTTAAGAGATCAAATACCAGTCTAAATCCAGAAGACTTAAAAATCTATTTGTATTCATTTAAAATAAAAAGCGCCATCCCATTTCCTAACAAAGAGGTAAGCTACCAAATAATTTTATAGAACCGTGCTTAATTTTTCATGATTAGTCTATTCCCCTGTTTTGAAAGTCTTTTAAATGTTATCTGAGAATTCTTTCAGTTTAGGATTACATTTTTTTTTTAGCTTACACACTGAAAATTCTGACAAGCACCTAAAAAAAAATCCACAATTAGTGCAAAAAGAAGAGATAGTATTTTAAGTCATTCCTTCCCAGAAAAAATAGAACTAAGGTTACTAAATGCCAAATTTTATGTAAATATACAATAATTTCCTACTTTGCTTTCTCAAAGACAACAAATACAAAAATAGTTTAACATTAGGTTTAATGAAGTTTATAGCACATGTATTATTAGTCTTATTTTAATTGCAAAAATATTTTAGCCACATTTTGAAAAAAATAAACTTACTGAGAATATAACTGTGTATTTCTAAAGGTCAGATGCAAGAATACTGATTCTTCTCCTTGTAAGTAGATATATGCCATAAAGCTTATGAAACAGTCATGTTGTAGGAATGAACACATTTTTAAAATACTGGTTTATCTGTTGCGAATTCCACATTTCCCTATTTAGCAAACCTGCATCCATTTTGTAAGGCTTTGGTATAGGTGATTTACAGCACTTCCATCATTTATCTTTCTTCTTTGCCTCATTCTTCTTTAGTTCCTCTGCCTGCTCATCCTTCTCCTCTTTCATATTTACCTTTGCCCTTTCTTCTTGATTTTTCCCCTTGGAACTATCAATTATTTTATAGTCCTCAAGGAGTGTGTGTCCTGTTTGTTTTGCAGTTTTCTTCACCATTGCTTTGATACCAATGTTGTCGATATTATAGGCGGTTACACCAACATTGATGGCAGAATCTACTGCATCGTGTGTAGCTTCCCCCGCAGTGTGCCCATATCTTTAAAAGAAAGATTAGGAAAAAAGTACAATGAAATTATAAATTAAGGTCTTCTGAGTTAGTATTAGTCACATGATTAGCATGTTATCCCTGAAAGCAAAATCAAAGGTTAGGTTTAAATTTAATTAATAGCTTACAACAGTAAAGAATGAAATCACACTGTGCTAAGGCTGTATTTTCTCCTTCAGCAAAAACAGTGTGTGAAAATAAACTCAGGCTAGCTGAGATTGAAGAACACCCTCAGGGGCACCTACCTACATTTCATAGGTTTGATGACTGCAATACCAGTCACCCACACCCCGTGCAGCAGATGGCAATGGGAAATGTAAATGGTGAAATGTTGAAGAATAAAATGTAAATTATAATAAAGGTTGTTAATCAGTCATTATTTCCTTTTTTAATCCACCCCTTCTGGAAATATAAGAGAATTATCACTGAAGCAACTGGAGGACACAAAGAATCTACAGTCACTATATATGGTTTTGAGTTCTACCTTAAGTGGACTTCGTCTTTAACCAGAGACTCTACAACACTCTCTTCCTCACTCCCTGCAGACTCACCAGCCTCCTTGCTGTTCTTTGAATCCACCAAGCACATGTGTGCTGCCTTAGAACTTTTGTATTGGCTGGTATCTGCCTAAACTACTCTCACTTCAGGTAGTCACATGGCTAACCACCCCACCTGCTTCTTGTCGGCTATGGTCTTCTCAGTATCTGACCTATTTAAATTGCCTTACCCATCATCTCAACCCATTGCCAGTCAATCCTCCTTAAACTGCTTTCTTCTTCTGTAACTTGTCACCTGATACATACTATAGAACTTACTTATGCCCACTGTTTTTGTTTCACTTATTGTTTGTCTCACTAGAATATAAACCCCACTAGAAAAGGGACTCTGCTTTGTTCATTAATGAATCCTAAGCACTTAGTACCTGACATTCAATATTTGTTGAATGAGTGAAATGAGTAATTCCTGTGCTGTCCATCTCAGAGTGTCTTGAGCATCAAATGTACAGCAAAGTGCTTGAGAAATTACAAAGCACTGCACAAAAGTAGTTAGTATTGATGATAATCAATATCTGTGCTTGATAGTATTTTTATGAGAAAACACAATTTGAAGTCCTATCCAAGGATATTAAAACTTATCCTACTATTATTTTGTTTCATTTCTTACCCTTTTTTAAGTACCAGGCTTTTAAAAACCTTTTTTTGCCCATGGATTCCCCAAATAGAGAACTGATTATAACAATAAACGGCAAAATTTTACAATTTTCTCCAGGACACACTGAAGTTTTCTAGGCGTTTTGTGATGTGTATCTGGACATTTTATATTAACAGTGGATCTGTCCTTTGAATTAACAAGTCCCCTATTACTATTAGCCTGGTCTAGAACAATGGTCTGTGATCCTACTGGCTTGTTCACGTTTGGTTATTTTCAACCTCAATGCTAGAAATGTGAAGTAATCTTATCATACTTATGAATGATGATTCCATGCTGTCCTTTGCCTAATGTTAATAATTAAAGCCAGAGCAGGGCAGAACCTACAATTTGTCAAACTCTACATCTACATCACTCTTGATTGGGGCTTTCTCGCCAGTTACCAGAAAAGCTTCCTTAACTGCTTTCTGCCAGTCTCTGCTGCTTTGCAACCCCTCAGCATTCCACAGGATTTGCTGATGTTGCAGAAGACATCGGCCTTCTCACTGTCAACCAAGCCCCAGTCACAAATACCATCATCAGGTGCCAATGGCTAAGGCAAACGAGAAGAAAGGGGCCGGGGCAGTTTCAGCATTGGAAGAGTGACCATAACTCTTGGCTGAGCAGGTTTCTCTTAGGACTCATCTCTCCAGGACTGAGTGAGTGACAATGAAGTCCTATGGTAACTTAAGAATTTGCCCCTAGTGGTGTTTTCAAGTACAGGAAATCCTCCAGGTTCATAAACTTCCATTTCTGAATATTTGGAATGTTCCCTATTCTACTGATGCAGTTTGACACCTCTGCATTCATGATATTTCTATACATGACACAATTTTAACAGCTACCTTATTTTTAATAATGTACTAAGAAGGAGTCTGTTATGGTACTCTGATGATTTTGCTTGTTCTTCCATGCTATCCCCACTTCAGCAGCAACTTCTGTTAATTTGGAAAAAGTACCAAACTAGGAGTTAGAAAAGCAGATTCTAATACTAACTATGACAATAAGCAATAAAGTCTCGATCTCTTTGCACCTCATCAGTCTCCTCTTTACCTCATAAAATGAAAGGTATATGTTAAAGTACTTTGAAAATTCCATAGTACTAAATGTATAATTATTTTTAAAGACCCTGTAAAATAGCTTTTCAGCAGTTGTGTTATGTTTTTAATATATCCTCACCTATCACCTCTGCTTCCCAAAATGGCCTTAGAACCAGTATTCCTGGCAGGCATCTATTCTTTTCTTCCTTGATAAATAACTGCTCAGTTCTTTTCTTCATTTAGATTCAAACTACACTGCTAAAAACTCATAGAAAGCCTATCTCTGGCAAAAAGATAAAGCGTATTTTTGATTTCTTAGTTTTTAAAGTTAACCTTAATTAGAGCTTATTAAATTAGATTTTATATACTGAGTAACACTTCCAATTGAATAACAATAAAAAATGAATCTAAAGTATGCTCTAAGTAAGTCAATGTAGTTCAACTTAAAATTTGAATGAGACTTTTCAGAAATTTCTCCAATGCATTTAGTAATGTCTACAAAGACAGCACGTTGGCAGTGATTTTAGATTTCATTAATTAGAGCACAATTTCAGTCATAACAACTTTCAAATAAATCTGCCTAAAATTCAATTTACATGCAATCTTCAAAACTATTCGAAGAAATATTAACCTTAAATATTTAAAATAGATTCTTATTAGTCTATCAAAGATAGATGGGTTATGGCCAATTTATGAATGACCTTGTAAGTCAAGCTGACGAGTTTAAACCTTATCTTGAAATCAATAGGAATGGTATGACCATATTTGTGTTTTAGAAAGATCTAACTCAGGTTGCACTGTAAACTGTAAGGGTGTAACATTGGAGACAGAGGAATGGGTTAGGAAACAAGCCGTGAACTGGATGAGAAATGGTGAGGATCGCTTCTAAGGTAGTGTTAATGAGGCTGGAGAGAAAGAGATGAATGTAAAAAACAAAAGGACTTAGTGAGTGAATAGCTGTGGTGGTATGTAGTTGAGATGTACGAGCCTGAAGATTAAGAGAACAGTTAATAGAAAACATAGATTTGAGAGTTGCTGGCATATAGGTGGTAACTACAGCCACAGGTAGAGATGATATCCACGTAGAGCAGAGAAGACTAGAGCACAGAGTAAAACCTTAGAACTAATACTTATTGAATGGGTGTGGAAGACAACAACCTTGGGAAGTAGTCTGATAAGACAAAACTGAAAGGTGAGCTAAATGAGGATATTGCTAGGAGATTTGTAGAGCTGACCCTCCAATCTCAATAAGCGTTAAATGTTGGAGCAAAATCAATCAGGGGAGAGGCTACAGTAAAGTGAGTGGTTAGACCTTATCCATGAAAAGTTGCGGGGAAAAAATCTAAGATGTAAAAAAGGCACGTCTTTCTAATCTACAGATAGCACAAAATAGAAGGCTGGCCAATATGACAAACACCAAAATCTGAAGCCAAAATGAAGGACAGACTTAATGATGTGTCAAAATCAACAAAGTAAAATTAAGCAAGGGTAAATGTCAAGTTCTTAATTTTATGTGTAAACAGCAATTGTCCAAAAATAAGACGATGGTCCAGATTTTTTAAAAAAAACGGTTCATTAAAAATTAAAATAACCCCCCAAGTTTGATATGGGTCAATAAAGTAACAGCTACTAAAAAGATATATTTTGTGTCTTGTATGCCATATCTATCAAGTGCTAAATATGACCAAAACAAAGGAGGCAAATCCCACTATTCAATCCAGTCACAACACATTTGGAATATTAGATTCAACTCTGGGTTCCATATTTTGAGAACAACAGTGATGAATGAAGGATGTGGAAATCATACTATATATGAAACTGTTAAAGGAACTTGTAGCATTTAGAAGACAAAATAAGTAAAGGACATAATAATGGTGTTTAAATATTTCTTTAGTTATCATATTGAAAAGAGCAAACCGATCCTATGTAACTCCTGAGTAGACGTTATATAGAACTGGTTTTGAGTAATATGATATCTTCCAAAGGAGTTACCCTCAATGGATTTGAATCTGTCCCTTTACCCAGTGCAAACTTAAGGGGAATTTTAATTAAAATTCACTAAACAAACCAATAAAATACCGTGCCTTAAAAGACTGAATTCCTTATAGGAAAATATTTTTATTAAGCTCATTCTTCACAAATGTGTTCTAAGATAAAATATTACTGAGGGGAAAACAAAAATACACCTAATTAACTGAAGTTATATTATTTTCCTCTAAACAATTTAAAGTGGGGAAAAAAAGCTTAAAGGTGATATTTAGAAGCTACATAGAAGAGTGATGAATTATTTAATAGATACTATACTGCAATCAGCTATGGCAGGTTTAAAGTTACTTATTGCTTTTTATTGTTCTTGTAGGTCTTCATTTTCCTAAATCTAAAATAAGACAAAAGTATTAATGTAACTGACAAAAATAAAGTCTTAATGAATAGCTCCTGTACATTTACCTAAAAATTTTAAGAATGTAATTAATTATATAGATCCTTAGGTAAATCATTCATAATCAATGAACATAATCCTGAATCATAATCAAAACTATAAAAGGCATAAAGAATATACTTCTTTAATACAATGTGCTTTTAAATATGCCTAAATGAAAAGATAATCCTCTATACTGGCTTCTACTACCACCAGAAATCAGAGATGGAAGTTTATACATTTATTTTAAGGCAGATTTAAAACAACTACTTACGAGAATAATTTATCATAGGCAATAAGAATACAAATTTTCTTTATTTATCATCATCAGTTGGATTCAAGTACAAAAACACAAATGCTCACTCCATCAAATATTTTCTCAAAGTGTAAACAAATGTAAATTCATAAATAAATATAAATTTATTACATTTACACTCAAATACAAATAAATATAAATTTATGTAAATAGAGAGTACTAAATTAAATGAAAGTTGTAGCTCTTTAATTTCTTCAGTGATAAATATCACTAAGTTATTACTGGTTTAATACTTACAGTTTCTTCTCTTAAAAGACAATTTCTGCTTCTAATCCAGATTATTCATAAGTGAAAAAACGGTATTACTTGGACAAAACCCTTTATTCTCCACTGCCCCTCTATCTTTCCAAGTTTCTCATTAAATTACTGCTAAAACTAAAGTATCTTTATAGTTAGAAATATAAACCTACTTAAATTCTGACTTACTTGCTTTTTTCACTCTACGAATCTTTGGAGGAAAGAATAAAAAAGAACAGCAATATATACCATAATAGAAATAAATTAGCTCATAACTACCAGTAAAATCCTATTCATCATATTAAGTTTTCCTAAGGACAAGAAATACAAAATTTACACCAAAATCCTGTACTTCCTAGCTATGTGAATCTCAAACCTTGAATAATTATACTTAGGTAAGTACTTTTTTTCATTGAAGTAGGAAATGGACAAAGCACTTCCTCCTTCCTAATATGACTGCCTAATTATCTGTGCTAACAAAAGACACTGATAATCTAAAAATAACTCAGTTTTGGCCTAAAAGGCACTTCTGACTATCTCCTGTTCTTGCAACAAAAGAAACTATTTTTCTAATTATGATCGATCCATCCAAGTACTAACATCAGAGCATAACAAAGAGTTAGTATTAGTCAGAGGTCAATGCCACAAGTAGCAAGAGGTGAGCTGGGAAACTTGGATTTTACATTTGCATCAAAAGAATTTCACATCTAATCTGTATTTTCTTTTCCAAATCTTTTGGTAAAATTGCCATTCCAAGATGACATGCCATGTTGCTTTGATTTAAAGGTATGCATGCCCCAGACTGAGCAGATCACATCAACTTAGGCTAGAAACTAAGTATTTCCTAAGCCAAAGGTAATTTACTGTGGTGGAAGGGAATCTAAACACATGCTAGACAATGATGGAAAATAACTCTAGATGCTAAACTTGCACAGCTGTCCCATCAATGGGGTTGGTGGCCCAGCACCGTTCTCTGACACTGCATGATAGAGAGAGACAGAGCTGGCTTACATCCCAGCTCTGCTACTTATTAGGGATATAGTCTTTAATAAGGTATTTAATGGCTCTCTGCTTTGGTTTCCTCATTTGTAAAATGGAGATAGTGTTAAAGATTAAATAATACTTATGAAAAGCACTGAACACAATATCTGATATATAAGTATTAACTCAAATGTTGTGAGTGGATAATTAATACAAAAGAATCAAGAGTTGAGAACACTATTAGTATTACTTTTTCTTTCTAAACAAACATTAAATATTAAGATCTAACCTTAATTCAAAGCTAAGAAAACAACTTAGGTCCTCTATACTAGATTTTTAGACCTTGATTCCTCTAGTACTTGTAAAGACAGAATAAACAGCTAAAATCAGAAGATCCTGTTTTAAGTCTCATCTTTAATACCACTTATCAGATGGGCTTGGGCAAGTCATTTACTTCTGTTTGTCTGTTTCTTAACATATGAAACAGGAGACATACCATCTGTCCATTCCAATACAAACGTAAATTGGTAGAGTCAATAAGATGTGAGAAAATTTAACATTCTTTGTACACAGAAGGAGCTAAAATTAACAAGGTACAATAGTTTAATTATAATTCAAGTTTTTCCCATCAAAACTATAAGTAAACATCACCCATCAAGAACATGCAGTTAAAAAGGTATACAGAAAGTTCAGGCTTTTTTTTTTTTTAAATTAAACTCATTTCCATTAATGATGAACAAATATTTCTAACAATTAGTAATATAAGCCAAAGTCACAGTGATTCTATTAATTTTCTAAAAATATTATTCTTCTCCCTACCTAAGAAAAACAGCAAGTGAAAAAAATTTGTTTTATCAGGTAACTTAACAAAACTAACTATATAATCATTTTAACTGTCCTGGATTTTTACAAATGCTATAAGAGACTTAGTCATTAAAATGATAAAATTCAACTTACTTGTATCTGACAGTCTGTACAGTTTCTGCTGAAACATTGTTAACAATGCATTTAGCTGCACATTCCAATCCCTGCCAGACAGTTGAAAATCCTGTAAATATATTTAAAAGTGAGTAAAACAAGCCCTAAGAAAACAGACCTCCCCCATCAAATTTCTGGGCCTTTATGTTACCTTGAACACTACTTGCTGCTACGACCATAGCACCATCCAGGGTAGACTTTCCGTTTCTGTCTTTTTTAAGAGATTCTGGAACAAGTTTGCTTCCATGCTTCTTGACATGTGGAGCTAGTTCCTTTCCAACACAATTTGCTACAGTGCAAACTCCATCAACTAATACAACCATAAAAAAAAAAAAACACTTAGAAAAAATGTATTCTTCCCTTGGCTTTACCACTCTTATTCAGCAAAATTCTTACATGAACATCTAAAGTTGTTTTGAGGCATGCTGTTACTATTTCTATTTAAGAATGAGAACCAGGGCTGGCTATTATTTAAACAGAGGCTATTGTTTGGTTTAAGGATGTGCTTGTAGGGTCTAAACTCTGCTTTCTAAATACAATGTTCTTTTTGGCAATTTGCTTAAAAAAAAAAACCATCCACTTTTTCTATGTGATTACTGCAATGCAAGACTGGCAAGTCCACCTTTCCTGTTTTCCAGCCAAGAGTATTTGGATACTTTCTCTCCACATCAGCAAATCTCTCATTGAAATAGTAATAAGATATTTAAGTCTATATAAAAGTAAATAAATCAAAATCTAATTCAAAAGAATACTAAATATCAAACAGATAATCTTACTAAATATAATGATCCATTAAGGAGCTATGTGACCGTCTTATAGCAAACTCTAGAGCCGTGATTCTCAAAGAAGGGGTTGGCAGTATATGGCTTGGGAAGGCTGACACAGGAATCACTACGCCAGCTTTACTCAAGCAATACTTTCCTCTCTCTTGACCCTCAAATACTACACTGTGAGCTGTCCTTAAAAGAATGTCATGTTCAAGGAGAGCAAATACTTTCAGAACCATTCCTTTTCAAAGGCACAGTCTACTCTCCAACACATTAAAACAACCTTTTAACCAGTGTTTCTCAAACTTTAATACACAAATAAGAATCATCTAGGGATCTCGTAAAATGCAGATATTGAATCAGTAGGTGTGCCAAGTGCCTGAACTATTTCTAAGGTTCTCAGATAGGTTGATGTTGCTGGTCTATAGATCACACTATGAACAGCAAGGTGAAACTGCTTTGTCCTAATTCTTTACTCTAAAGGTTAAATCACCTAAATGAGCATTTACGTTGACCTGGATTAAGAGATTATTGTTAATTTACCTGAAAAGAAGTAAAGTCATCTACTTTACCTAGGAACTGACTGACTTTCACTGCTCCTCCAGTAGCCTGCTTTGCTATATGCAGTCCCCTGGTCACAGCTGGACTAACTTCCACTGGTTTTTCTTCTGGTTGAATCCGTTCTCGAAGTTTAGAAGCGCCTTTCTGGATTGCTTTGCCAGTAAATTCAGCACCTTTGACTAAACCCCAACTCACCCAGGAAGCACCTTTTTAAAGGAAAATTTAAAATTGCACAATATTATGGCTGATTATACCTTTAAATTCTTTAATAAATATCTGATCAACAGGAAAAACAAGGAGAACAATATTTGGATCCCAAATGCCATAAACTTTCAAGCCAACTTATAGTCTTTTGCCTAGAATATATACCTTTTCTAAGAAAATTCATCCCTCAATACTTAGGCCATATGTCACCCAATAATAGAAGTCTGTATTCTTTACACTGCCACTACAACTTGTAGTTATCTCTATATGTTGTTTACCATAGTATACTATAGTTAGGGACTAATTTTGGGTTTTGGTGTCATTAAGATGGTATTTGACTAGAGGACGCAGGTATCCTTGTGCTTTCAGCCTTAGTCCAGGTACCACTTGTCCCCCATGAAGTCCTGAGGTGGACAGACACAAACAATGCTTAAGTGGAAACCAACAAACCTGGATCTCAAACACCAAGGCTGAACTCTTGCTTGCTTGCTTTAGGCTAAAGGCATAAGGGAGGGGGTCCTGTTCCTCCCTCAATCCCAAACCCAAATCCTTCAATCTCAGTAACTTTTAGCTTGCAAAATAAACCTGAATGGCAAAGATAGGAGAACACCCAAAGAATACATAAGAAGAAAAAACCTGAGAGAAGAAAACTGAGAGGCCTAGATGGTTTAGCTATTTCTCATGAAAGCAGGCTCTAGTCTTTTGCTTTGCTTATGCTTCCTGCAGCATGAATGAAAGAAGAGATTGTCAGAGAGAAAGCAGGATGGCAGACTTCTCTAGTGACGAGAAAAGGCCCTGAGCCAGGAAGCATGTGGGGAAAGAAGTGGGAAGGAGATGGGAGAAGAAAGAAAAGATATAAGGATAATGGCTTCCCTGAAGACGAGAAGGAAAGTGCTACCCTCCTCTGGAGAGAACTTACAATTTTAAATATTTCCTTTTTGGCTACACCCTGAAACAATGAGCTTTTCAAGCTGAACATATAAAATATGTATCTTTTCCCCATGTCTGTGGCATGGTTTTTACATAATTAGTTCAGCCCATGAGTGAGCAGGCATCTAGTGATCATGTGAAAATCAGCCCTGTTTATCTAAAAATGCTAACAACATAAAATGCCAACTAGCAACTGATTAGAAAAATTGATGTTTCTCTTTCTGTTTCAGTCAACATGTCCACTTCCAGCGCCAACCCTACTCCCACTGCCCTACCACTGAGGAAGGACCATGTCTCAAACCCAGGCAAACAGGTTCCAGCCAGGAGTTCTCATAACAACAAAGAAACTGAAGATGTCTATTTAAAAAAATTGTTTTTAGAGTTAACTTACAGATGGAAAAGTTCTAAGAAGTAAAAAACCAGCTGAACTTGAAGAAGGAAGATTGATAAATCATAAAATAAATGACAATGAAACAAAGAAGAGCTCAAGTAGACTATACAGCTATAACAAAACTCTGTAACAAGAGGAATGGCGTCCATCAATGACTGAGAAAAATAAATGGAAATTAAACAAATGAAAAGTCACAAGACTAATAAAGAGAAATACTAGATGCAAATTATGAACAAGCTATCACTACGGAAGAACAGAATAGAGGTGATACGTTAAAACTGCAGACACTGCGATAGAAGATAAGGAAATACAATATTCATCAGTAGCTATTAAGGTCTCTTAAATGTCATGTGAGTGCCAGATATAGATTTACTCTGTCCATCTTTGCATCCTATGCACCTAGTATTGCTGAGATATAGCAGGCAACAAATGTTTGCTCAATAAATGAGAGGTTGGCAGATGACTGAAAATGATCTAACATAAACCTAACCCAGTATGGTGTTCTAATCAGTCTATTGTTATCAGTCCTCTACCTCCCACAAAATTAGCTTACTAGACTCTCCATCTAAAATGTGTGGCAGGGGGCCGGCCCTGTGACTGAGTGGTTAAGTTCATGCACTCCGCTTCGGTGGCCCAGGGTTTCGCTGGTTCAGATCCTGGGCACGGACATCATGGCACTGCTCATCAAGACATGCTGAGATGGCATCCCATATGCCACAACTAGAAGGACCCACCACTAAAAAATATACAACTATGTACCAGGGGGCTTTGGGGATAAAAAGGAAAAATAAAATCTTTAAAAAAAAAAATGTGTGGCAGCTGCCTTCTTAAAGTTTAAGGCTTCTCAAGCCAATAGACTACACAGGTAAATTTTAAGCAGTTATTTCACTTTTTTTACCTTTTACATTCATAAAACCTAGGACTGTAGCTTTTGCTGATATTTACTCATCCTTTGACAATGGACAGCAACCAAAGGATAAGGTGAATGAGCTCAATTTAGATGCCTGTTTACTCATCTTTGTACAGAGCCTGCATGGGTCAGGTAGAAACAGTCTCTCGATAGATCATCCTCCTTGGAGTAGGACCTAGATATTTTCTGCACCTTTCTTTGTTAAGTAACAGTACCTTAAGTGTTTGGTGAGCTAGTTGTTTTTCATTATACCCACTAAAGAGCATATAGGGAGACATACTCTGATAGGCACCCACTATTACGGCTACTGCTAGAACTCTAGCCCTGAGGGTACAGGATGAAAAGGAACAGAGTTACAAGCCTGAAGACACTGAGGTCTCAAGTAGTAAAGAAGGTCTCTAAGTGCTACCAGAATGTAGCTTTTGCTCATTTTCAAATGATGCACTGCTGAGATTTCTTTTGCAACCTCTAAAGAGATCTCTCCCCAGTATTAGCTGGATCTCTAAGATGCTCTGCCTCTCTGAATAGAACCAGTGTGTGGAATCTGTGTGGTACCTAGGAGCCTAAGACTTTGTGGCATGTGGTATTTTCCAAAGATGGCCAAAAACAGTTATCTCCTATTCCATATGTTCTTTCAACATGACCTTGACATTCCTTCCATTGAGAAGTGGGGTCTGTATCATATCCCCTTGAATCTAGGCAAGCTTGTTACTTGCTTGTAACGAGTGACACTGGAAATTTCCAAGAATATGTCAGAAAGGGTGATGCAACTTCTGCCTGTTTGCTGGACCATTCACCGTTGGAATCCTGTGCTACCAGGTAGAAGCCAGACTAGCTAAAGGTTGCTATGCTGTGAGGAAGTCAAGGCACAGGGAGAGGCCATGTATAGGCACTCTATTTGGCAATCCTAGATTTTGAGCTCTCCCAACCCAGATGCCACATGTGTGAGTAAAGGAGCCTTGAGATGATTTCAGGCCCCAGCTACTAGTCACTAGTCAGCCTTTGAGTCTTCCTAGCTAGGCTCTGACATCGTGAAGCAGATACAAGCCACCTCTGCTGTGACCTTTTGGAATACCTGATGTACAGAATTCCTAAGCATAAAGAAATGGTTATTGTTTCATGCCATTAAGTTTGGGATGGTTTGTTACGCAGCGATAGTAAACGGAACAATCTTATAGCAGTATAAACTCAAAAAACTTAAGAAAATGATCTTTGAATTTAGTTATTTACATACGCGTGGATACGGGCAAGTTTTCTGAATAATGACCTAACAATAGCTTAGCATAAAGTCAGAGGGCATGGTAGTAAGAGTGAAGGTTTTTCATTACAACTTATTTGAAAATCTCCTTTCAAGGGTCCATTTCAACTATTACAATTATATTTGAAAAAATTGGCTTTATCTTTTCTTCTTGTCTCAAGCAGCTCTTTGATACTGGGCAAAATATTTTGTTAGCACCTAGCTAATTATTTTTCACTTATTTTAGCTTGTTGGTTTTTCACACCGAAGATTTCCTGTGCTTTAGACACCTTTATTATTTTCATGGGTTTTTAGTACAGAGACAGAAACTTATATTGACAGTCTTTTAAATGACTGGTCAAGATCCCTTTAATAGGTCATGAATTCGGCTTACTGAATAGTGACTGGTAATGTTTTTAAACACAAAATAGAAGGTCTAAATCTGAGAGCTACTATAGCTGAAAAGTTAAAATGTTAACCAATTAAAGCAGAAAGATATATATGAGCAATGATCATTTTGGTTTTAAAATAATTGACCTGAAGCTCTTTCTAGCCATAATTAAATAGTAGGGCCTACTTTGCAAATAGCTTGGCTATAAATCTCATGCCTGCATAATTGTATGATTAGGAGTGCTGCTTTGTTTTCAAAGATTGATGAATATCTCATCATTTTGTGGTAGAGGAGAAGGGGGAAAAAGAAAACAACTAAGGGGGAATTTCAAAGGGGAAAGGAAAATAACTAATTTTATGTTCAGAGCTATTCTGAGAGTTTGGGGATTCCTGAAGCTTTTTACTACCAATTTTCCCAAGAGTAAAACAGCGAATAACAGACAAAGAACTTACACCTATATGATAATATGTGATGTTTTAAGAGTCTCTTTCCTTCTATTTTTGTTTAAATATTTATAAACTGATCATTTAGAACCAAAATACAAAGTATTATCTTTCTAAATATTCTCTTACAGGTTCCAAAGATTTCACATTATAAGGGAAAAAAGTTAACATTACTGTAATACCTGACAAAATGTTTTGAGCCACTTTCTCACTCCATTCAGGTAATTCCTTTGTTTTTTCTTCTGAAACTGGCTCATAGGGTACAATGTGACTCAAATTAACTTCTTCACTTGAAGTATCTTTAGCCTAAACAGTAAAAATGTTTCAAAATGTGAAACAGTACTAAGAGGGAGAAAAATAATAAATGATAATAAATATAAATAATATATTTATAAAATATAAATATATCTATATTATATAAATATAAATAATAAAACATTAAGCCAACCAATATTAGATATAATTAATGAAAATATCTCCAGCCAATCTAGTTACCAGCACATTTTATAACATAAAGCACAGTACCATAACTGCCAGGAAGCTGAAAACTGTTCTCTTCTTATATAAGGTCGGAGTGCTAAGATTTAAATACCAACATACCTCTAATATAGCATTTATCAAAACATATTTAAATTGACTAACTCTTTTCTTTCCTTGACTAGACTATGAGTTCCTTCATACAACTACCATCCCCTAGATATCTGTATGCACATGGTACTCAGTAAGGTTAAAAGATTCGTTAAATGACTCAATCATTAAGGAAGGATGTATTCAAATAAACTGGTTTTGACAGAAATCAAGTAAAAGCAAGTAAAAATATATAAACACAGAACAACCTGCTATTCCATTTGAATATAAATGAGGAACATAGAAATATGTGAAATTTTCTAATTTAACAGCTGTTTTGAGAGCTAGGGACAACACTCAAAATTTCAAGGCTAAATTTATTCATTCTAAGAACTTAGGAGCAGGCTAACTCAGACCTTTTTAACTTGAAAATCAAACTGTCCAAAAGAAACACGAAGAGAACTTCACTTAAAATATAAAACAACTTAAAAACTTCTATATGGAGGGAAAAGCCCTCATAAGTAAAACCGAAAGACAAACTGAACAAAACATTTGCAACTTCTATCTCTGACAGAGAACCAATGTCCCTAATATGTAAAGACCTCCTGGAAATTGAGAAGACAGACTAACAACCCAGTAATAAAAATGGACAAAAGACATGAACAGACATCACACAGAAAAAAAATTCAAGGAACCCTTAAGCAGACGCTCAACATCACTCATGATAAAATCCATACAAATTAAGATATTGAAATATACCACTTCTCATCTATCAAGACTGCCAAAATACAGAAAGACTGAGCACCCACTCTGTTGACCAGACTATGGGGAAACAGGTACTCTCCTACACTGCTGGTGGGAGTGCTGAATAGTATAATCACAGGGAAGGCAATTTAGCAAAATCTATCAAAATTACAAATGCACTTAACTTCTGACTCAGCAACCCCACTCCTAAGAATTTATCTGACGAACTGCCTACAAATGTATGAATCAATGGATCTACAAAGTTACTCACTGAAGCAATGTTTATAATAGCAAAAAACTGGAATCATGTCAGATACCTCTCAATAAGAGACTGGTTAAAGAAACCATGGTATATTCATACAATGAGATACAAGGTAGCTGTAAAAAAGATAGAGGAAGTTCTCTACTTACTAACATGGAAAGATCCTCAGAATTTATTATCAAATAAAAAAATGATATACAGGACACTCTATATGTTACCCTTTGTATAACAAAGGAAAAAAAATAATAACAGTTTTCATTTACTTTTATCTGCCTCAAGAAACCCTGGGAGGAAACACAAGATCCTAATAAAAGTGATTATAGTGGCAGGGGGAATGACATGGACAGGGACAAATGTGGGAGTAAAGCTTTTCAATGTACATACCTTTTTATATAATTTGATTTTACCAAGAAATTAAATTTTAAAAAATGAAATGAAAAAATTTCCAAATGTATTGTTATGAAAAAGCAAGAAGCAAATCAGTCTATCTTGCATGCTGCCACTTGTATTAAAAATTATATGTGTATACACATATATATTCACATACAAAATAAATATATGTGCGTTTACATATGTTTGAATATGCATAAAATATATCTGGAAGAACAGCAAGAAGCTAATAACAATGAGTGTGGAGAGGGGAGCTAGGTGGCTGGTGAATAGGAACAGAAGGTAGGCTTTTCACTACCTTATTTTTTGTTCTTTTTGAATTTGGTTTCTCGTGCATTAACTTTTTAAAAATTTTAAAAAACAAATACATTTCTTGGAACCATTTTGGGCTTCTAACATCCTCATAAAGCTGGTATAGGACGTTCAACATAAACCACAGTAACACTTTGCAAGTAAATATAGAAAATTCATGTGATATTCATTCGTTCCAAAGCTAGTTACTGAGCATTTATGATATGGAATACCACAATGAACACCACCAATCTGTTTGTAATTCAATACTCACACAACGCTATTTTCTTTCTTCATACATTTGCTTATATTACCACTTCTGCCTAGAACCCTCTTTAATCTGCTATTTGTATGGCTTTTCTTCATCCTTCAGGACTCATCTTAGAGATAATGTCCTTTAGGAGGAGCCCCTTTACTGCTTCCCACACCACCTATATGCTCACACATATCTATGAGGCTAGGCTGTACATTAGATAGAAATTACCTCTTTGTTAATCTATCTTCTCCACTACATGGTAAATTCCTTGAGATGAGAAATTTAAACTTTTTCCATTACACTCAGCACTCTAGCACTCAATAAATACTTACTGAACTATAATCCACATTTACCATTTAGTGCATACTGTATTCTCAGAATCTAAGAAACGAAAGAAGAAACTACTAAACATATTTTTAAAAAGCCAATCTCTGTCCTCTTGACCATTCACGAAGAAATAAGGAACTCAATAAAAATGGCAGGGTAAAAGCATATCTAGCCTCAAGATCTTGGTGTATGTAGGAAGGTGGAGAACACAAAATAAAGTATATGCATCATTAATATAAATATACAAATCTTTAAAATTGTTGGGAAAAAAAATCTACCCTCAAAAACATAGACTGTCTTTTAAAACAGTTTAAGTAACACTCAGAAAGGGAAATACTAAAGCTGATTCTAATTATTTTTACCAGTGATCACTCTGTAATGCTGCAAGTTGCTTCACTTTAGCAAACGGGGATAACATCTTATGAGTAACTGAAACTGGTGCAAAGTGCCATTAGAGTAGAACACACACACTCATCTTATTGCTCTTTTATTTACTTTACTTACCTTTTTCCCCCGTTTTCCTTTAGGACGCACATCCTTATTGCCTTGGTCCAATGAAGTACCACTGCCACTGGCTTCCTTCAATTGGTCAGAGGGACATCTTGCTCTTCCAGGGATTTGGAATTCATTTTCTCCTTCTGCCCGGATCCAGTTGGCCTAGGGAGTAAAGGACTAAGCTTAGCTCAAATGCAAATTTTCTCAGATGACTTTCTGCTATGGCACACCATATGCTCTAATAATACACTTGTTCAAATGTCACTGTTTGATGGTGTATAAATACAACTACTTTTTCTTGTGTTTCCCCTATACTTTTACTTTATCTCATCATCAAACGTCAAATATTTGAGTTCTTTGGTTCACGGCGCGTGGCAAATTTCAAAAGACAAAGCATAAAAGATAAATTTATAGCAGTTGTTGGTATATGTTACCATTAAATTAGATGCAGCTACATTTAAATTTAATTAAACAACAAATAGTAAGTTTTAGGAAACACATACAAGACTGAATGAGTTTAAAGGCAATTAACAAAACGAGTCCAATTTAACTGCTCTTCATTACTGGAACAGTGACTTTGGTTTTTGTTTTTGCACTTCATATTAAAGGTATTCTGCTACATACATTTTGCTGAATAAATGCTCAAGAGTAAAGACAAGTCAAAATTATAGCTAGTAACTAGCTTTTGTTTACAGCTGGAGTTCTGGGACAATAGAGCAAACTAAAAATAACATGCAACCAAAAAATAAAACTGAACAAAGAAAATAAGCTCACAACCTAAAAGTGGGTTTAATTTCTTTCCTAAAGTCAAAGAATACAGGTCCAATGAATGTAACGGTGAAGGGAGAAAGGGTGCTATAATAGGGCTGGATACTTAAGAATGTCACTTCATTCAGCTAGCAAAGAGTAAAGCTAAGACTTGAACCCCTATCCATTTGACTATGTTCCTGTCTGCGTAAACTTCTCTCCATGAGCACACTGAGGCTGCACACTTCTGTATGGGGATCATGCGTTTTGTTAAAATACCTTAAATGTTTAGCATTGGCTATGCTAAAGTATATGCTGATCACCATGTCATTCTCATATACAGTCATGTGTCATTTAATGATGGGGACATGTTCTGAGAAATGCATCATTAGGCGATTTCGTCATTGTATGAACATCATAGAGTGTACATGTACAAACCTAGACAGTATAGCCAACTACACATCTAGCCTATAGGGTACTATTCTTATGGGACCACTGTTGTATACATGGTCCGTTGTTGACCAAGACATTGTTATGCAGTACATGACTATTCATACAACCTAATGCTAAGATGACTCTCTGACCCTTTACTTAACTGGTAATCTGCTCCCATCACCTTTGATCTTTTTAATATAGGAATGGATTGAAAGTGTATTCTACTTCCTGAGAAAACAGGAACAAATCTTGCAAGACTGAATTCAAAGGAAACTATTTTGTGAAATTCTCTCTGACCTCATTCCTGCACTTTGTATATACTTTTATTTCATCACCTATCACACTGTATTGTAGTTATTCAAGAGACTATAAGGTGCTTGAGAATAGGGGCTGTTATATACATAACTTTGTTGTCTCCTGTTCTCACACTCTTCCCATCCCATCATTTAACACAGTACCTGGTTAAATATCAGATTCTAAATATCTGCTGATTGAAGGAGAGAATAAAAGATTATACTATCATGCTGTCAACCTCCTTCAACCGTCAATATTCACAATCAGAAATATTTTTCTCCTTTTGTCCTACATTAGGATGGGCAAGAACACCTGCAGGAAGCCTCTCTGTAATACTCTATTTCAACTCTCCATAACAGATAAGCATGTGGGAGAAGAAAAACGCTACATAAGTAAAGTTCACAAGATGACCGACTATATTTTAAATCACACTTTCTTTTCTCTTTATTTGGCCTTCATTTACCATGAGAATAAAGATAATTCCCTCAACCAAAACCTCAAATTCCTCAAAATGCCAATCATACTCCTAAGATATCCAACATAACCCATCTGTTAATGCTAAAATTACCTTCACTTCACCCATTGAGTCCCATTAGCCCACTTTTCCAACTGAGCAGTAAAGCAGTGATGATAACAAGAGTTAACATTCACAGAACACTACCACTTGCTGGCACTGATATAAGTGCCTTAATGTATTAACTTTTAATCTTCACCACAGCCCAATGAAGTGGATATTGTCATTATTCCCATTTTATGATAAAGAAAGTAAAGCATAGAGAAGATCAATAACTTGAGTCAAACCGCTACTAAGTGGAAGAGTTCAAATTAAATCCAAACCCAGGCAATTCTACTCCAGAGCCCACAATCTTAACCACTTTTTTGGAGGGGGTATTTGACAGAATATCACAAAAAATATTTCTATTCACATTGGGTTTCATTATTCTCCTTAGAAACATACATGTAAATACACACAAATCCCTCAAAACCTTACTTAGGTGTGAAGTTTTGACAATGTTTCTAGTATTTAATAAGTGTTATCTAGATCCAGTGCTGTTCTCTAGTAACATATTACAAAGAAGGTCTTTTTTAAAAATTAAGTAAGTTTCAGGTGCACAGCATTTAGTCACTATTTACAGCCAATTCCCAACTTGTAATTGTGAACACACAAGCAAATTATATACTCTCAGTCTCCTAATTTGATCGCATTAGAGCCTATTACAGTTTCTTTAAAAGCAGAAGTTCTTACGTCAATGTAGATTTTCACTTGAAGATGATCATGCAAGTTACCTGAAGCCGAAGGTCAGACATTTGTCTTAACAGATCCTCGAAGAGTTCTCTATCATCTTCCGGTAATTCAGAAGACAGGACCACCCCGACAAAGCATCCTGATGCTTGTAACATCGTATCAGGAAACATGTAGGCTCCCACAGTACATTTAAGAACTGGAGATCTATCAGGAACTAGAGGATACAACCAGTCACAAACCTGAAGGGATTAGTTAAAAAAAAAAAAATCAATGAATAGAACTAGGTTTCCACTTAGGTTTAAAACTGTTATATCAAAAAATAAACATTTCAAAGGTTGAAATGCGTTTTACAAACCTTTATAGAAGCATCAGCATCAACAAATTCCCAATGAAAATTAGCCATCTGCTAGTCTGATCTTCCCATAAACTACTGACAAGAACTATACTAAACATGTTAATGCTCTACTAATTACACAGCCTTAAAACTGGTGGCCTTCAATACTCCAGTGTGAACCAATGAGCCTAGTTTTAAATAAATGGTCAAAGTAAATTAAAGTTTTCTTTATTATTCAAATTAGAATCCTTTTGTGGAAATAAATAAAATCGAACTGTTTTCAAGCACTCTACATGTATTTACTGATTTAATCTTCACAACAATCCCATGAAGCTAGTTAGTACTGTCATTTTACGTACAAGAAAATTGAGGTACAGAGAGGTTAATTAAGTTGCTCAGAGTCAACAACTAAAAAGTGGAGCTAGGCTATGAACACATGTAGTCTGGCACCAGAGAAGCCAAACAATTATTTTAATTAGAAACCCAGCACTCACAATATGGAATAATTATTTTATGAAGCCCAAGAGAATCTGAGACATGACAGAGCTAAAAGAGAAAACTGTTATGTTAATTCTGAGTGACCAGAATATAACTGTGCCCCTTGCCCAGGATACTGTCTTCCTAATAGTAAAAAACTTGGGAGAATAGTCTATTATCAAAACATTGTGTAGTGAACATCAGTCAAAGAGCATGAAAGATTTCATATAAATGATGGAAAATTCTGGTATGCTACCATCATCTCTGACCAACAGACTATAAACTTGCATGGATCAGAGTACTAAAGTGACTCTTGCCTGGAAAATGCTTAATAAATATTTTCAAACTCTTTTTCTTTTATAGAATATCTTTTTTAGTTGTCTCAAAAGCCACTCTCCATCTTTTATAAAAATCAAACTTGAGACAGGTTACAATAAAACTGATTACCATTTTCCAAAGTATAATATATAACCATCTGTGGCATGTGAAATGACTTCTCGTAATACACAAACTATTTAAATTTAAGCAGTTATGTATTTTAATATGAATTAGGACAAAATACAACATCTATGCTTCCATTTCACAGTTGATATTGTTTAGGATGAAATTAACAATGAGATATTTAAATAATATTAAGAAAGTAATAGCAGAGGTATGGATTTGACAAAAAACTGTAAACGTTATACTTAAATGACTAAGGTTTGGGAAAGGTTTCTTTTACTATTCCATGATGTCTCTAAGATTAAATATATCCTGGTCAGCATGACTGAACTGGAGTACCCCCAATCTTCTCAAAACTATTCTATAGACCTTTGTTAGGACATATTACTGCAGATTGGTGAGCTCATCCATCATAGGTTAATTTCTCCCAGTTTCACCCCAGAGGGCAATCTCATGACCAAGTTCTGTATGAAGAGATTACAGATTTAATAGGTTTAAAAAGTATATTAAAACTAACACTAAGAGAAAAATAGCTTTTAGAGATTCTAGAATTTAAGTCTGCCTACTTAAAACCAAATTATCTTACTCTAATTTCCTAAATAGACCAATACAGTATAAAAATTCTAGGGGCTGGCCCCGTGGCCGAGTAGTTAAGTTCGCGCGCTCCACTGCAGGTGGCCCAGTGTTTCGTTGGTTCGAATCCTGGGCGCAGACATGGCACTGCTCATCAAGCCACGCTGAGGCAGCATCCCACATGCCACAACTAGAAGGACCCACAACGAAGAATATACAACAATGTACTGGGGGCTTTGGGGAGAAAAAGGAAAAAAATAAAATCTTAAAAAAAAAAACAAAAAACTTCTAATACTTAGTTTGTTTATCATTTGTTTTTTAGAATAAAAACATTCAGTAAACGTATGGTAACTCCCTTTTAGGACACTGCTACAAATATCTGAATACATGCAAATGCAAGCCCATTAAAAAGACACAAATTAGACTTTGGGTACAATTTTACTTCTTATTTAACACTCAGAAAAAGAGATTATTAGCAAGATTAAAAACAAAATTAGACCCACAACTAGGGTATACAACTATGCACTGGGGAGATTCGGGGAGAAAAAGCAGAAAAAAGATAAAAAGAAGATTGGTGACAGTTGTTAGCTCAGGTGACTCTCTTAGACAAAAACAAAAACAAACCCACCAAAATTGAAAGCACCAAGACAGGACAAAATTTTACTAGAGGACAAGTCATTTTAACAGTTGGGCTCATGTGTCGAGGTAGAGTATTTCTGATATTCATTTCCTGCACCTCCAGCAGCCCAGGCCCCAAAGGTTTTTAAAATTCCATTGTTACGATGCAGTACTATTACCAGATCAGGAGAAAGTGTTATAGCTTTTATCAGCTCCCTCCCAATCTCAATCAATAAGCCTTCTCTTTTTAACCTCAAGGTTTCTTTCCTGAAACCACCTATGAGATTCACAATATTCATCCTGTCCAATAATGAAGTCTTCCTTTCAACAATGCCCTCAAAACATCTCCTTCACACACCCCTCGTAAGTCTCTATCTTCAAACAACTTTCAAGTTGATTCCATGCAAAAGCTGCAGAAGAACTGAGACTAGAGTATACCATAAGAAAAAAATGAATATGGATAACCAGTGCTGTAACTAAACCATATCATCTGGACTCTGCCTTGCTCAGATAGCCATCTGCCTTCCATGCAAATTCCTTTATTATACCCAATGTATACTGAGCCCACATTTCCGGAACCTATCTCCCTGGACCAATATCTAATCTTCTAAAAATTGGACCACCACCTTCAAAATACCTTATTAATTCCACAACAATGCCCTAACAACAACCTTTATTTAGCATCAGTCTTTGCTCTTGGACAAAGGCTATCCTGGTAAACTTATCTGCTTGGAACATTAGAATTCCATTTTAAATTATCATCGCAGTCTCTACTTCTAGACCAGGGTTTCTCAGCCTTGGCACAACTAACATCTTGAGTTGGATATCTTCTTTGATGGGAGCTATCCTATTTGGATGTATAGCAGCACTCCTGGCCTCTCCAACATACGCAGCAGTAGCATACCATCCCCCACCAAATGTGAGAAGCAAAAACGTCTCCAGATATTGCCAAATGTGGCAGTAGGGGGGTTGCAGGAAATTGCCCCCCGTTGAGAACCACTGTTTCAGACAGAGTTTAGTCTAGCCCACTTCAGCCCTTCAACCAGGGCTTGACATTTGTGGATATTTACAGTTATTATGTCCACATGAGCTACATAAATCTCTCTTGAAATTAAAGTTAAGTTTCTTCTTCAGATAAAGAATTAAAACTTTAAGGATGAATATTCTGATTCCCTTCAGGTCCTATCATCACAAATGTAATACTAAAACAAGACTTTATATCTTAAAAAAGAAAGAAAGGCTATCAAACACAAACAGATGTTCAAGGCTCATAAATTGCATGGAACATATTTAAAAGGAACTAGAACTTATAATGATCTTTTTGTACTTGTCCTGGACACACTGTAAGTATTAAACAAAAATGATGTATCCCACACGTACTTCAAATAATGTTTATGCTTTTCTTCGGCTTACCTGAAGAAACCCAGGAGGACGATTTAGAACTGTATCAAGAGAATTATCCAAGAACCTCACAATTCGAAGGTACCCAGGATATGAAGGTGCACTAACCTCCCCTGCAGGATTTACAAAAAAAATCTGTACTCCATTTGGTATCAAAATCAACTCATCTGCATCTAGCCCTAAGGTCTCAAGAGGAGGTGGCTGAGAATGATTCCTATAAAAGTCTTCTCCAACTGATGAAAATTCCCCAGATTCTGTCCCATAGGATACAGTGTAGTGACCCTCAGCAGCCTGAGGAGTATAAGCAGGAGGTGCTTCTGCTGGATGCCTTTGAGATGGTAAGGATAAAGAACTAGGTGTGGGAACCAAGCCTGAACTTGTAGCTGGAGTGCTTCCATATTCTTCACTGTGCGGACGAGGTGAACTAAAGGGCTGAGGCTCTGGTGACGTTTCAGGAGTATCTTTAGGTGGAAATTCTGGATATAACTTGGGCACCTCCTGAAGATCATTCCGTAGAGAAGTGGCAAGACCTTTCTCTAGAATTTCCAACCTGGTGCGTACATTCTGTAGTGTTTCTTTCATTTTCTGCTGCATCTGTCTAGCAGATTCCCACCCAGGGCCTACGTGTTCAGGCTCTGTTGATGAAATGCTGATTCCCCTGAGCAGGTGTCCTATTCCTTGCTTATAGTAGTTCTTTGCTTCTTCCTTCTGACCTAATTCATCTGTATTCAGTCCTTTATTAACAAATAAAAAGGCCTTCTTGTACGCTTCCTTGATCATCTTAATTTCAGCAGGTTCTCCATTTTGTGGCTCTTGCTCCATTTCTGCAAAATAGGAAACATTATCTTTAATAATCTTGTTTACTTATTTATCATCAATTTCTCCTACCTGAATATATTTCAAGATGACAGGAGCCTTGTCTGCCTTGTTCACTATTGTATTCCCTAAGCCTATTATTAGATGTGACAAAGAGAAAGCACTCAATAAACATTTGTTAAACGGATAAATAATGTTCTTGGTCCTAAACATCTCTTTAATTAAAAACAGAAGTGAATAAATCAGAATACATTTATTGAATAATTTTCTTGTTCCAGTTTCTTATAAGAAATAAAAGTTTCCTATCATATATCAATCTTTCAGATTACAACCAAAGTCTCATTCTAAAATTCATTACAATATAAATTCAGATGACAGGTAGCAAATTAAAAATGAGGTTGAATCACATATTGGAGAGTAAAGAAATGAGAAAAAAATATCTAGATGAAGCTTTAAAGTTACCTGACTTTCATTTAAAGGTGGCAGGTTACTCTCATGCAGTTAGCTCTGTTCCATCCTAAAACTACCGAAATGCCTCTAACAAGATTATTAAAAACACACAACCATTCTTTTTAATGAGAAAAAGGCATGAACAGGTGCTCCACAAAAGAGAATATTTAAACGGCATGTAAAAATGAGTTGAATATACTATTCCCTAAGGGAAATGGGATCCACAATGATACCACTATATACTTATCAAACGGCTAAAATTTAAAAGACTGACAAGTATTAGGGAAGACAGCAACTAGAACTCTTATGCTTTGCTAGAGGAAGTGAAAAATGGTACAGCCACTTTGGAAAACTGGCAATTTCTATGAAAGCTAAACATTCAGCCACTCTATGATCCAGGAATATAATCTAGGTGTATAATCAAGAGAAATGAATGAATATGCACATCAAAAACATGTACAACAATATTTACAGCAACTTTATTCCAAAGGCAAAAACTCAAAACAACTCAAATACCCACCCACAGAAGGGATAAACAGTGGTCTATTTATACAACATAAAAATACACAGAAATTAAAAAAATACATATTGATGCCTGTAACATTGATGAATCTCACCAATGCTTTGAGCAAAAGAAGCCAGATGCAAATGAGTTCATATTGAGACTAGGTACTATATGATTCTATATAAGTGAAGTTGAAGAAGAGGCAAAATACTAGCCCATGATGACAGAAATCAAGACAGTAATTACAGGGGGAGGGTACGGACTTGGAACGGACATGAAGGGACCTTATGGCATATGAAAATACTGTCTTGAACTGAGTGATGATAACATGTGTGTATACATATATTAAAAAATCATTAAGCTGTAAATTTAATATTAGTACACCAAATGCACTTTGTGTTACCCCTTAATAGAATAAACAGCAAAGTCATAACTCACAAGGACAAAGAGGGAGGATGAAGAGTCAACAGTGCTTTGGTACTGAAAAACGAGACAGACAATTGGTAACTCACAAAACAGACATGTGAAAGCTGAAGCCTAAGCTGTCAGTGAGGATATCAGAGAAGCAGCCCCATTTACATCACAGAACTTCCAAAAACCACAGGAACTGATTCAGTCTTCCTCTGGAAGAGGGAATAGAGGTAGAGCTGGAAAAACATGACTGATTAAAACCTAATTTACAAATTAAGACCCTCAGATCTCTCCTACACCAGGCACTGAAGACACTATTTCAGCCCTGAAAGAAGGTTGGATGTTTTAATTCAAAGGAGCATAAAATAAAATGTTTCTGTACAGCAGACTATCAGGCACAATTAAGGGTAAACATCAAAAGCAGAAGTAAATGAAAAATTACATACTGAATATTGAGATCCTCAGCCTTCTCCCCCACACCTTGGTTATTAGAGTTCTGGCAGGTTGGTACCTCTCCAGAAAGGAAATTAGAAGTATCTTCTCTGGAGAATCTGATCATCACCAAGAGGAAAGACCTAAAGATAGTGACACTGAGAGTTCCCCAAGGAAAACTGTCCAGGAAACTAACTTTTGAGAAAAACTATAGTTGGTAGTCCACCCGAGAGTCTCCAATTAGCAGACAGCCAAGGATCACAAAACATGTGAGGAAATGCCTAGTATGAAAGAAAAAAATGAGTAATGCAATTTGGGTGAAATGGACAATATGTAAGGAGAAGAAAACTTTAAAACCTACAATTTATATCAACGTAAAAAAACAAAATATTGCATCCATAAAATTAAAACAGGATACAGACACAAAAAGATACGCACAAAAAGGACATTTATAAAACTAAAAGGGCTCTTAGAAATTAGACACAAAATAGAGAGATGAAAACGTCGTAAATCATAGAAAATGCCTGCAAAGTAGAGCAAAAAGACAAAGAAATGAAAAATAGGAAAGAATAGATCAGAAAATGTAGAGGACTCAGTGTACAACAGCCAATATCTGAATAATAAAACTTCCAGAAATAGAGAATAAAAAATAAGGGATGGAAGAGTTGAAGAAAAAATTCAAAGAATATCCTAGAACTAGAAAACACGATTTCCAAGATTTAAAAAGACCAATGGATAAAGAACGAAAAAAGACCCACACCAAGGAGTACACCATAAAATTTCAGAACATGAGGCTCATAATGGACCATCTTAACAGGAATTACACAAAAAATGAGAAATAAGATTGCTAAGGAACTTCTTAAAGGCAGAAGTTAGAAGGAAATAGTAGAATTAATTCGCAATTCAGAGTGAAAATAACTTCTAAACCCACCCAAGTGGTTGCTCAGATATTGCATCTTCTGTTTCTTGGATTCCACATTTGCTGAAAGAAATCACAAGGCTGATGACGGGAGTTCCCAAGATAACTATTAGGCAACCAGTCCATACTGGAGCAAACGACAGAATGCCAGAGAAGATTTCTTCAAGCAACTAAAATAGATAGAACACTTAATGTGTTCCTAAGTTTTGAGAAGAGAGCTACATAACTGTGGGAGGATTCAGGGTTTAATCAGTGATACATACATAGAAAACTAAGGAAATAAAAATCAAGACAATTATTAACTGGGGAAAACAAGATGCTGAGCTAGAAAGAAAAAGTAATCATAATATACTGCATGTTTTAGTTTTAATTAGTATAACAATGTAAATAACGAATCTTGATACAAGCAAAACTGTGATACAACCATATTGAGAAGATGGGAAGATGGATGGAGAGAAAGTTCGTGTGCATGTGGTATAGGATGAAAGAACTAAAACTTCATCTTTCCTACTAGGAAATTCATGGACAATGCCTAAAACTGAAAAATAAAAAGTAGCAATATAAGCATCTTGTTTAGAGACTTAGAAAGACCAAAAGAACTGGCTAAGAAAATTGATACAAGCTGCCTTTAGGAGAAAGGGTTGAGGCTTGGGTGGTGAGACCTCTCATTTTCACTGCAAGCCTTATAAAAATATTTAACTCTTAATACTACACGCATGATAAAAAAATTACTATTTAAAAAAAGTAAACAGAAGCTTTAGAGCAGCATTGTCTAATAGAATTATAATGTGAACCATATGTAATTCTAAATGTTCTAATAGCCACATTTAAAAAGTAAAAAGATGGGGGCTTCCCTGTGGCCAAGTGGTTAAGTTTGCACGCTCTGCTTCAGTGGCCTGGAGTTCACTAGGATCCTGGGTGCGGACCTACACCCGGCTCATCAAGCCACGCTGTGGCAGCATCCCACATAGAAGAACTAGAATGACTTACAACTAGGATACACAACTATGTACTGGGGCTTTGAGGAGGAAATACAGGGAAAAAAAGATTGGCAACATTAGCTCAGGGCCAATCTTCCTCACCAAAAAGCATACCTTAAAAAACAACAGAAACAGGTGAAATTAATTTCAGTGACATTTTATTTACTCAAATACATCCAAAATATTATTATTTTTTAAATTATAGGCCTTCTATTTATTTATTTATTTATTTTTATTGAGGAAGATTAGCCCTGAGCTAACTATTGCCAATCCTCCTCTTTTTGCTGAGGAAGACTGGTCCTGAGCTAACATCCATGCCCATCTTCCTCTACTTTATATGTGGGACGCCTACCACAGCATGGCTTTTGCCAAGCAGTGCCATGTCCGCACCCAGGAATGGAACCGGCGAACCCTGGGCTGCCGAGAAGCGGCATGTGCGAACTTAACCGCTGCACCACTGGGCCAGTCCCACATCCAAAATATTACTTCAACATGTACTCAACATAAAAATTACTAATGACATATCTTACCTTCTTTTTTGCATTAAGTCTTCGAGACCTAGTGTGTATTTTACACTCAAAGAGTCATCTCAATTCCAGCTAGCCCCATTTCAAATGCTCAATACCCACATGTGCCACCACTGCGGTTTTGGAGATTCTTTTCCCGTGATCTCATTAAAACTTATGATTGGATAATTTAAATGATTTAAGACTATTTTAACAACAATCTACACTATAAAGGCATTACAGAATCTGGTCTAGCTTCTGATTAAGTGATATACCCATACTTTCTAAACTGAAACATAAACCATCACACAGCAACTTCATGGGAGTCAAGGGAATATACTCAACGCCCAATTTAGAAAACATCATATACAACTGATCATATACAGACCTACCTTACTTGCCCTAACCCAAAGCTCCTATAAAATTGACTATCCCTTTCCCTGGAATTCCATCCTCTCTCTCTGTCATTAGAATGCCTCCCCTTTTCACAGATCCCATTCCTTTCTTCCTTCAGAAACCATGCGCTAGGAATTTTGCACTCCACGTTCCTTGGGGTACAAAGAGGCTCGAAGTTCAGAAAGCAAGATAGCAGAGGTTAAACAGATTTTTGTGAGCTGATCTGGGAACTTAACTAGCATCATTAAGTTTCTCCAACTACTTGAACAGGGTCTTGAAAAACACTGTAACTTGGCACCTACTTTTTCCTACATGCTACAGGACACCACTATCACCAGGCACCATTTATAGAGTATTTAATGTGGCTGGACACTATGCTAGGTGTTTATCTCATTTAATCCTGATAAACAACTCTTGAGGCATTATTACCACTACTACTACTTTTCAGGGAAAAACTGAGGTTTTAAAGTTTGATCTTCTGTCCTAGATCATCTGTTTTTGAAAGACCCTGGAGCTAAGAATTATTACTTTCTTAAGGGGTTATAAAAACAAAGAATGACATGCAACAGAGATTATATGTGGCTCAAAATGCCTAAAATATTTACTAACTGGCACTTTACAAAAGATGTTTACCAAGCCATTGTCCTAAATTACAGAGTTAAAATAGTCTGATTTCAAAACTAATTTTCTAAATCAGGGTTTCTCAACCTCATTCTGATCGACATTTTAAGCTGGATAATTGTTTATGGGAGGCTGTCCTGTTCACTGTAGGATGTTTAGTGGCATCTCTGATCTCCTCCTACTAAATGCCAATAGTGGCAAACCCCTCCGTGCCCCCCCCTAAGTGACAACGAAAAATGTCTCCAGACATTGCCAAATATACCCTGGGCAGCAAAATCATCCTCGTCAAGAACCAATGCTCTAAATGGTCTTCAAATGGGGGAAGTGTACCCTGGAGAACATAAGGACTTTTCAACGGAACGTGTTCCAACAACATGAATAATTCTAAGAAAAAGGCTTCCAGACCCCTCTCCTTCCATTTAGTACTCCTCACTAAAACTGCTTTGGCTGGGAATAGACTGTAGTTCAATTATCATGCTGTTTTTTCCTCTCCTGGTCTCCTTTCACAATCTTCTCACTTTAAAAAATAAAGTTATACCTCTCACCCATTCCTATTCTTACTAGGTGCACTACCCCAGGATGGAAAAGCCCCCTAGGATGAACAGCCCAACCAAAGTAAAAGGTGTCAATTTTAATTTACGCACAACTCCAACTATCCATCTCTTTAAGACACAAATTTCCACTAAACTCCTACTTCTCATATTTAATTATTATTTATCAAAATCATCCAGTATCATGCTTTTCTGACGATTTTACTACTTGTAATAACTCAGTCCAGAAGAAAACCAATTCCTACAGTTATCACCATAGAAAATTTTTAAAACTTAATTTCAATGTATACAAATATTTTTATTAAAGACACCCATGATAGAGAATAAAAAGATTTCAAGCATAAATAAGTTAAATTAAGATAACATTCTGTGGGGGAAGGATAAAAAGCAAAGTATAATTTCAAGAAAAAGGAACTGTTAAAATACCATGCATTTTTAAAATTAATGGTGATGGATAAAAAAGTGCAACATTACACTCCTTTGGATACAGTTGAGTGACGTACCAATTTTATACTGAAATGTCAGCATCTATACCATATGGGAAATTGCATCCTTTGCAACTAACTAAAAAGTATGATGTAAAATGTTATAAATCAATGTAAACATGTGAAAGGGGGTCACTTTTACAAAATTTATTTGGGGTTCACAAGTGAATTAAAAACACTACTCTACTGGGGTCAGCCCCGCAGCCTGTTGGTTAAGTTTGGCATGCTCCAGGTCGGCAGCCTAGGTTGGCTCCTGGGCATGGAACTACACCACTTGTAGGCAGCCATGGTGTGGACACGACCCACACACAAAAAGAGGAAAACTGGCACAAATGTTAGCTCAGGGTGAATCTTCCTCAGCAAAAAAAAACCCCAACACTGCTCTAAAATCACTGACTACTATATTATATTGCAAACATAAAATGTACATGGTCTCTGGTCATTAGAAGCACCATAATTTACTACCTTTTATTAAGCTCTTCAGCTCATTAGATGTGCTTGGCACTGCTCTAAGCTCCATTTAATCCTCATATGCTTGGAAGTGAATACCAGATTTAGAGAATGTTTTACAAATATTGAACTGCTTGCCCAAGGAGAGAGCTGTAAATGCAAGAGAGATTCAAAGACTCAGGTTCAACAGATACTTGTCAAGACAATGAAATGAAATGTCTGATTCCAAACTTGAAGTTCCTACTAGGCTTACAAGTTAGCAGAGTGAGGAAAGGATGATGGGAACTTGGAGTGTTTCAAGGGAGAAGGGCATTTGGCTTAAGCCTTAAAGAATAGGTAGCAAGCATGTGAAGGCAGAAGGAAGTTATAAAGGAACTCTAGATAGAAGCGATATTACCTTGTGTACATCTTTACTCAAAGCTTATTTTACATAGTGTGCTGAAAGATTTCCTAACTAATGGGTCACTAGAGAAAATGGGCTGGCTATTAAGACAGAAGGTATGTGGGAGGGGGGATTCCACGGGTCAGCTGCTGCTGAATAGCATTCCTTGCTGGCCACCTCCATCTTGAAGAGAAAAAAAAGTTTAGCAAGCAGAAGAGCCTGGAAATCTAGCACATTAAGTGTAGTCGGGAATCTCAGCACACAAAGAAAAAATTCTGTATTAAAATATTGTATTTTTATTTTGTGATTTATTCTGGGCTTTGCTATATTCTCAGTAGCCTCTGAGAAAATGCATTTCACAGGGCTAGGGACCACATGATGGTGGCTTTTCTTGTTAAACAATTCCTATCTTATTCCTAAGCACAATTAAGTGCTTATCAAACATCTTGACAAGATAAAAACCATTATTACATGATTTCACATGCTTTAATTTTTAAAGGTGAGAAGAGAAAAAGTCTTTGAAATGTCAATTTGAATTATTAAATAAATAAAACAGCACCTACCCCAGTATAATCGTCTTAAATCCCAAACCAAAAGCTGGTTCCAGATACCAATGGTGCACTTCAGCTATTTTTTAAACTTTCGAATAAAATAAGTAAAATGTATTTGTTTCAAACATAATCTTGAGTATATCTGCGTGTGTGCGCGCTTTAAAAAATACTCAGGAGCAAAGGTAAAATTCTGAACCAAATACTTGCCAACTTAGCTCAATTCCATACACAAGAGTAGTAAGAATCACGCTAACATCCACATCACCAGTAGTCTTCAATAATACAGCATTTATTTCCCTAAAGCGAGCAGCAGAAATTGCTCTACTGCCTATCTGGCCCTTCACAAAAAAAGGAGAGGAAACTTGCTGCAAACACTTGTATAACTCCCTCCCGTAGCATCTCACCCCACTGACGTTTCAGAAAGCCCCACAAACGAGAGGGAACCCACGTAAGAGAGAAGCTTCCAGTTTCAAACAGTTTTCACAGAGTCACCAAATGAGCTGTGCTATTGTAAAGGACAGCGAATCAAAAAATAGCTCCATTTGTAATCGGGAACATTCTTACACTCCTTTTGTTTTGTTTTGCTTTTGGAAATTTCAAAGAAAAAATCGTTGAATTCTGAAATATTTAAGGCTATATTTCAAAGGCAACGATTTTGAAAGCAAATTCATTAAATTACAATTCAATAAAGCAAATCTCGAGGATCCTCAAGAGACAAAGTAAAGCAATTCATTAGCACCATTAGAGTGTGGAAAACTGGGCCAACCCTCCAGCAACGCAATAATGCCGCGTCACGGAACGGTGCGCATTCCAAGAAAAACTTTCCGACACAGAAATTAGGTGGGAGGGATCCTCTGCGGGGCTAAATGCCTAATAAACACGAACGAATGTATTCGAAAGAGTAAAATCGGGCCCTGTCCATTCTCAATAAAACTGCTGCTGCTTGCTGACCTTTTTGAAAAGAAAGCCTACCGAACTTTCACGAAGCTGTCAGCACTGGTAAGGGCGAATAATTACTGCGATTTTCGAAGCTGAAGTAAACAGGGGTGGGTAGGGCAGCAAGAAAGGTCACTGCGATGCATAAGGACGGTGGTGGAAGTGAGGAAAAGGGCAGCGCTCTCCCTCCCAACTGTAAACAGGGGGAGGAGGCGCAGGGAACTCGAAGGTTCCATAAATGTGAGACAGGCGTTAACTAAGAACAATTTCTCCAACTATTCCCTCTGCAATTTGCTCCCTTCAACGAAAGTTTCATCTCTGAGACCTGGGGACGGCTCCCGGCCTTCTCGGCCCTCCCCGCACCCCGCCCAGTCCGCGGGGCCCCGGGCGCACACGCCACTCGCCCGCTTTGGGGACCCACGCAGGGGCAAGAGCCTCCCCGCCGGCCGCCCCCAAGCCGCCCCACCTGTGCCTCCGGAGCTCGGGCGCCTCGGCGCCGCCCGCAGACCTCCCCGCCCGCCGCCGCAGCCCACGGGCCGGCTCCCTCGGACGCGGCGCCGCTGCGAAGCGCTCAGCCTCGGCCGGCCCCAAGGTGCCCAGCTCCCCGCGCGCGCGACTGCACGCCGGGACTCTCAGAGCGTGCCCAGCCACGCGCTCCGCCGTGCGCCGCGTCACGCCATGTCACGTCACGCGCCGACCCCACCCGCCGGCCCTCGCGCCCACGCTAGGACCCGAGCTCGCTGCGGTCGCAGGGCTGCTCTCACGTGACGCCCTCTCAGTCGTCTTCTCCACGGACTTGTCACACGCCTGCCCAGCCGAAGTTCTGTCCACTCTTACTTTCCAAATGCTGTCTGGGGAGACGTCTGTCCGCTTCGAGCCCTGGAGTCACCGTAAAAGTCTCTGGCGGCGAGCAAAGGAGCGGGGGCGAAAGGCTCCGAGAGAACCACGGAGTCTGCGGCTCAGCGCGGACCCCCACCTAGGGTCTCCCGCGGCCACGTCGGCAGCCCCCGCGCTTGCGCAATCCCTTTCCCGCCGCCGACCGAGGACCTGGAGGGACTAGGAGAGAGTGCCGGGCGCCGGGAGCTGTGACGGCTAGAGGGAGCCGTGGGCACAGTGCACGTGGGAGAACAAAGGCTGAGTCAACTCTGCAACCTAACCTTTGTGACTAACATATCAAAGAGGACGGTTACCTGGAAAGCCCCCAGAAACTACGTGATAAAAGTCTCAGTCGAGTGTCTGCCTGGGTGTGTGTGCGCGTGCACGTGCTGGAAATCCGTGCCAGTGTAGTAAACAATGTTAAATTCCTAACTCCTACTGCTAAACAGCAGCTGTGCTCATACCATTTATGATTATGGAAGGCTGAAAGGGGACGATCAAAGTGAACATACTTTACTGTTCTTCAAGAGTTCTTTAAAATTAGTAAAATTCTATAGATGACAGATTTTATACTTTTGAATAGACCTGCCTTGGAAAAATTATATACACGGACATATATATACATATGTCTATATATATTGCCCCGAGCATTTAAGACTAAGTGATTTAAGAATGGCAGTGATTTAATTCCAGCTGAGTTATTACTTCCTTCAATCAAAATTAATGATGGGGACCGTTGAATGAGTCTTGGGAGAGGCTTTTAAATTTAAAATTAGGGGTCACTTGGTAGTTCCCTCAAATCTCAGAAAGGTAACTCATCCCAAACAGAAAAACCTGTTAGGGAGGTATACATTAATACAGGGGTTTTAATTTTGTTCTTATACTTCCTAAAAGAATTCTGAAAAACTGTGACTGTGTACCTTCTCCCTCATTTTTAGATTGACCATCAAAATTTTTCGTCTGACTTAATTAGTTGCAAAGGATGCAAATTGTTTTATTGTAAATTGACGTTTTAAAATAAAATCGTTGTATCACTCTTAAACGTGGCCAGTAGAACTTAAATATCAGGCAATCTGATATCCATCATCAATTTTTAAAACTACATTAACAAGCTTTTCTTTATCAGGAAAAAAAATACAGCTTCCTTTTCTTCTTAAACTCATATTTCTATATCACTTCATGACATTTTATCCCAATGTAATATTTTTTTATTCTGGAGAGTCTTTGACTGATCACCTGCCATACTTCTCTGTATCATAAGTAAGTACATAAATTTAAATCTAATTTTAAAATTTTGCAATAGCCATAAAGGTTAAGGTGTTTAAAAATGTAAAATTTCTATATACAATATCATTATATATGGAAAACCCTAAAGTTTACTACAAAGCTACTAAAACTAATCGGGTTCATCAAGGTTATAGAATAAAAGATCAACATAGAAAAATCGGTAGCGTTTTTATACACTAGCAATGAACACTCAAAAAATGAAATTAAGAATTTCATTAACAATACTATCAAGAATAATGAAATACTTGGGGATAAATTTAACAAGATAAGCACAAGATTTGTACACCAAAAACTATAAAACATTGCTGAGAGGATTTAAAGTAGACCTAAATGCAAGAGACGATGTTCCATGTTCATGGATTGAAAGAGTTAACATTGTTACAATGGCAGTACTCCTCCAATTGATCTACAGATGCAACCTGTACCAAAATCCCAGGTAACTGTTTTGCAGAAATTGGCAAGGTAATCCTAAATTAAATGGAAATACAAGGGTTCCAGAATAGTGAAAACAATCTTGAAAAAGAACAAAGTTGGAGGACTCACACTTCCTGATTTCCAAATTTGCTACAAAGCTGCAAAGTAATCATTTCAGTGTAGTTGTGGCATAAGGCCAGACATATGTGGAATTAAGAGCCCAGAAATAAACCCTTGCATTTACAGTCAACTAACTTTCAACAAAAGTGCCAAGAAAATTCAATGGGAAAGAGATAGTCTTTTCAACGAATGGGACAATTGAAAATCCATTCAAAAAGGTGAATTTGGACCTCTACCTCACACCATACTCAAAAATTAACACGAAATGGGTCACAGACCTAAATGTAAGGGCTAAAACTGTAAAACTCTTAGAAGAAAACATAGGAGTAAATCTTCATAAACTTAGGCTAAGCAATGATTTCTTAGATATGCCCCCCAAAATATAAGCAATACAAGAAAAAATTGGTAAGTTGTATTTCATCAAAATTAAAACCTTTTGCTCTTCAAAAGACATCATCAAGAAACTGAAAATACAGGGGCCGGCCCTGTGGCCTAGTGTTTGAGTTCAGTGTGCTCCACTACGGCAGCGCAGGTTCGGTTCCTGGTCATGGACATGCACCAGTCAGTGGCTGTGCTGTGGCGGTGACCCACATGCAGGGTAGAGGAGGACTGGTGTGGGTGTTGGCTTGGGGTTGGTCTTCCTCAAGCAAGAAAAGGAGGGTTGGCAATGGATGTTGGCTCAAGGTGAATCTTCTTCAGCCAAAAAAAAAAAAAAAAAAGAAAAAAATTGAAAATATAACTGTTAACTATGAGAAAATATTTGTGAATCATTATATCTGACATATTTAGAATAAAGAACTCATAACTCAATAATTAGCAAGATAAATAACAATTTAAAAATGGGCAAAGGATTTGTATAGACATTTCTCCAAAGATATACAAATGGCCAGAAAGCACATAAAAAGTTGCTCAGTATTATTAATCTTTAGCAAAATGCAAATCAAAAACAGAATGAGGTGTCATTAGTTATGCACTAGAGTGGCTGTAATAAAAAAGTAGATACTAATGAGTGTTGACAAGGATTTGGAGAAATTCAAAACCTCACACATTACTGGTAGCAATGTAAAATGATGCAGCCATTTTTTGGTAAACAATTTTACAGTTTCTTAAAAAGTTATACGTAGACTTGCTATATGAGCATTGTCACTCAATTCTTTGAGCTACTTCTAAATCATATGCCCCAAATCACTTTACAATATATCATTTTGTTTTTTAATCCAACAGATCCTTCTTCCATTTTTTTCAATTAAGAAATTGGAAATCACTTGAATGCAAAAATATTTGTCACCAGGGACTGGCCCCGTGGCCGAG